ATATTTACAATGATTATATTATGATCTATTTAAGGCATTATTTAAGCTAGTAATAATAAATTAAATATAATAAATATATACAAAATCATAATTTGTAGGGTACGTTTAATGTTGTTGCTTTTTTTAATATCTTTTAATTTATTTTAAAGTTGAAAGATTTAGGTTGATCATGAGTTTTTAATAGTTTATCTAGATTGCTTACACAGTCTCTCCTCCTGAATGCTCCCACACATTCTTAAAATACTAGCAAACCCCACCCCCACACTCTACTTAAAAAAATACTTCATGTGGTAACAAGTAATTGAACTAGTTTTATTCAGCTCAAAAATTTCTTTGATTGAAAGAATCATTCATTCCAACTATTTATTTAGATTGAATAAAATTAGTTCATTTACTTATTTTCACATGTAATTTTTTTAAGTATATCTGATGAGCCACTTTTTACAGTGTACATTATTAGATACTCATGTCTATCTATACCTATGTGCATTATATTTATTCTTTTCATTATTTTGAAATATGAGAAATGACACTTTGACTTTAGTTTTTCCTGATTCTCTCACTGATACAAGAATGTCCTCTGTTATGTTTGTCCCATTGCAGTTTCAACTTTGAAGGAAATACTGTGAGAGATGATTATGTAATTTGTGCCTAGAGACAGAGAACTGTATTAAGTATTCTGCAAAAAGTGTGTGAGCAGTTTATAATAAGAGGGAAATGTGTTCTGATTTTTGTTGCACTGACAAGCAATCAAGAAAAACTCTATTCAAAAATCCTGTCCCATGTTTTCAAGTCACAACCAAAACACAGAGTTTAGTTTATTATCGTATTGGTAGAGCATAGTTTATTACTGTATTTGTAGTGATAAATGTGATGTTCAGTTATTTATTTAAATAAAAAAGATATAATTAAGACAACATTCAAAGCAGAACTGAATTAAGTCAGTTAAAAGTCCAAACTGAGTTTTCAACTCTGACTGTAACCATTTTGGTAGAATGGCCCATGTACACAGGGGTGGAAATGTGCTACAATGCCAATCTTGAAACCTAGGTAACCTAGGTAACCACAAATGGCTTGCCATATGGACAAACATATTGGGACACACCCCTTAATCATTAAATTCAGGTGTTTTGTTTAGTCTCATTGCCACAGATGTATAAAATCAAGCACCTAGCCATGCAGTCTGCCTTTACAAACATTTGCGAAAGAATGGGTCGTTATAAAGAGCTCACTGAATTTGAGTGTGGTACTGTAATAGAATGCCACCATTGCAACAAGTCGGTTTGTAAAATTTCTTCACTCCTTGATATTCCACAATCAACTGTGAGTGGTATTATTAAAAAGTGGAAACTGTATGCCGGGAGCTCCATTCATGGTTTTCCATGGTCGAGCAGCTGCCTGCAAGCTTTACATCACCAAGCACAATGCCAAGCGTCAGATGGAGTGGTATAAACCACGCCATCACTGAACTCTGGAGCAGTGAAAACATGTTCTATGGAGTGATGAATCACACAGTGGCAGTCTGATGGATGAGTCTCAGTTTGGCGAATGCCAGGAGAACATTACCTGCCTGACTGCATTGTGCCAACTGTAAAGTTGGTGGAGGAGGGATAAAGCTGTGGGGTTGTTTTTTCAGGGGCTGGCCTAGACCCCTTAGTTCCAGTGAAGGGAAATCTTGTTGTTTCAGCATACCAAGACATTTTGGACAATTCAATGCTTCCAACTTTTGGGAAGGCCCTTTTCTGTTCCAGCATGACTGTGCCCCATTGCACAAAGCAAGGTCCATAAAGGCGTAGTTGGTTGAGTTTGGTGTGGACGAACTTGACCTCCCCTCACAAAGCCCTGACCTCAACCCCATTGAGCACCTTTGGGATGAACTAGAACGCAGATTGCGAGTCAGGCTCTCTCGTCCAACATCGGTGCCTGACCTCACGAATGCTTTTCTGGATGAATGGGCAAAAATTTCCAAGACCAAAATCTTATAGAAAGCCTTTCCAGAAGAATGGAAGCTGTTACAGTTTAAATGGGGGAACCAACTCCATATTAATGCCTATGCACTTAGAATAGGATGTCATAAAAGCTCCTGTAGGTGTATTGTGTAGGTGTCCCAATACTTTTGTCCATATAGTGTAGTTGTTTTACTCTGTTCTAAAGTGTGTGCAATAAGTGTCTCTGTTGAACGCACCTCAAGTTTAACCAACAGCCTATTCACCCAATGGAAACTCATCATGTCTGCCCACCCAGTCTCTATGGTAACAACTGTCAGTACACCATGTGTTTGTAATGTGAAGAGAATCACTGGTTAAAGCAGTCGTGAAACTCTGCAATTGGTAATAAAACTACACAAATTGAAGACCATAAAGACATAGTTTGTTTTGTGTGGAGGAACTCCAGTGGCCTAACCTCAACCCCCCTGAACACCTTTAGAATGAATTGAAACACTGATTTTAAGACAGGCCTTTTTACAGCACAGCCTTCACAAAGCCAGATGGCCACAGATGTAGAAAGTGCTCTTAAGAAAGGCGAATAGACAATAAAAAAGCCACTTCAGGTGTGAGTGACGCAGATGAAACCCGCAATATGGGACTGCAGGTGGGAGCTGGACAAACTTTTAGGTTGCAGGCGGGAGCAGGACAAATGGTGCAGATTTTCTACAGGAGCGGGATGAATTCTAGGGGGAGCAGGACTAAAATATCTGTCCCTTGCAGCCCTCTAGGTTGAATAAAAAGTGGTGAAGCAATGTGTGTTTGCTCACTCTAATAAAAGTGAGGGTGCACATGCTCCACTTGCTCCATTGCTCGGACGCTTATGGGTTCTAGGAGGTTTAAATTACAAGTAAACTGTTTTTGTATGGGGGAATCCCAGTGTTTAATAACAGCATTAATGATTATAAGGTCTGTAGTGAAAGTGCCTGGGCTGTGAAACAACCCAGAAGTATTTACAATCAAAAGCAGAATTTGATGTTGTTGTTCTTTCAGTTAAGGCCAGTTTAATGCAGGAAATGCATGGCCCTATAATAGTATAATATCGCTTTACCCCATTATTTGGCTTTGCTTTTGTAAATCTTTTGGTCATGGGAATCAACTAATCAGTGCAAGTGTAATTGTACATAAAATAGTTATATAGTTTTATTATACACCATTTGTATTTTCTTAGATTATATGTGACCAAAAATCACCATATTCTTACATTTTGCTAAGTTTGTTTAACATTGATACATATTCCAAAACTGCTTGAAGCTTATTTGTATCACTCCATTTTTACAGAGGATTGGTTGTGGGCTCTTTGCCATAGGCCTACTGTGGGAAGATGTTCTTCATGACACACAGATTATTTTTTGTGTGTACATACTGTCTATTATTTGATCACAACTGAATATTCTCATCTAGTTATCCTGTAATTGACCCTGATTAAGTTTTATTATATAATAATTTTTCTTCATGTATCTTGCTATTTTCTAACTTCCGGGGTTGTTCACATTACCAACATCACTGGCTCAGTTTTTTCTTTTTCTGCACTATAATAAGTGCTGGTTTTGGAAATCCCAGTTTGGGTTGTTTTTGACCACACACCTAAGTCACCACTGGACAGAACACATCCTGGGTTAATCTAATCCAGCAAGATTAGTTGGTCGCTTAACCTGACAAACTGGCCCTTCAACTTGTAATTGGGTTCACATAAGACTAAGTTTACCCCAGAAGCCCTGGAAAGGCTCATGCAAGTACAAATAAAACGGAACATACTGGGCTCAAACCCACAACCTAACTCCCCCTTCAAGGATCAGCCGACCCTAGCAACCCATTACAAAACTACAGAACATTCTGACATTTAACACATTTATTTTTCACTCAGTCACAAAGTATCTGAGATGGGGCTGGTGCCTCTGATTGCCCTGAAGTGTTCTATCATCTTGTTACTGTGGTTCCCCACAGTGTCCTTCCTAACTAGGACAGAGTTTAGTTCAACTGAGGGGAAGCTGTAGCTTCCCATGAGACAGTAGTAGCAACCTCTTAACACATACGAGTGCATGTAGCCACTAATATTGCTAAATGACTCTAGCTGTATGGCCTTAGTCAGTGGATTAGCTAATTAATATAATAAGAGAGATGTTCAAGCCTAAGATGGATTTTTCTGCATGTGATGTTGACATATATACTTACAGTACTGTGGAAAAATGTAAACACCTAAGCAAGATGTTTAAAATGATTTTTAAATGTAAATGTTTTCATATGCATATATCATTGGAATAGATGCAAACCATCATGAATACAATAAAAAGTAACAAGAAGAACTTTGTATTTTTTAAAAAGTAGTTGATATCTTGTGAGCTAGTTTCAAGAACAGTTTGATGAAAGTTTATTCCACCTTACTGCTTTAGTCATCACATAGATTTGTGATGCAGCACACATGATTTAACATGATGAACCACTGAGTAAAACCAGGCTTTGGATAATAATTTAAATTAATACCAGGCAAGTCATAAGAAGACATTTGAAATGAACACAATGACAAATGCAAAACAACTACTTATTTTATTCACATTTTCTGTGTTTATGCTAATTTTTGTTTTTTCTGAGCAAATAAACACTCGCTACCCAGATAAACAGCTTTTTAGTGCAAACTTTCTCAGGTGTATGTATACATTGATGTAATTATTATGCTTCAATTAACATCTTTAATCCTGTCATTTCAATTTTTTTAATGTTTCTGTAGGTCTCTTTGAGATCTGAACTCTCCATGGTTATTGAGAACTATCACTATCACTATCTGTGCAGTTATCCTTAACCTGCAACAATATGCAGTCCAGAACATTGCATACACAAGTTAGTTCTCATTATTTACTTTGAAATTCAAGGCCAGAAACAGTGTCTGAAAAAACCCCACTTAAGGGAGACATATGAATTACATGCTAAATGCATTTGTTCTTTATTTATTTCAGTTTAACAAACTTTAATTGTATCATCAGACATGCTAATTTTTGCTTGAGCATATGACTAAATTCAGTGTACATTGACAGCTGGCCTGATTTTGCCTTTGCCATAGTAGAAGTAGTAAATGAACAAGGGTCTCAAGGCTTCGTCTCTCAGCCCATAGGCGAGTGGGCTCAGGCAGCGGGGCAGAACCAGGATAAACAAATAGTTCAAGTAGCGCAGATCCAGGAAGAGAGTGGTGCTCCCCAGCATGGCCGCAGCTCGCTCTATGATGCTGTACAGAAACGCAGTGAGACCCAGGCATAGCTGAATGAAGTGCAGCAGCACAGTCCTGTAAGCTTTCGTAGCAGAGCCTTTATTGGAGGACACAGACCTGGCTGTGATCATAATACAGATGTAGGTGAAGACGATGATCAGCGTCACTGACACAAAGTAAAACGTGTTAAAGCCATAGTATACATCGAGTTGCCACGGTTTTATAAAGATCCTCTCCCTTGTGCAAAATACTTGTGAGGTTAGAAAGTGACGATCCATTACTACTCCAAATAACACGTCAAACACGACATTTATAGAGCTAATACACCAGATTAATATGATAGCAAGGTAAGTCCTTTTCTGAGTGGCTATTTTTGCGTGTCTTAAAGGAAAGCATATGGCCACATAACGTTCTAAGGACATCACAGCCAAGTTTAAAGGTGCGATAAAGAAAGTTGTTCCTGAAACGAAAACTATAAAGGCACAGCCAGCCATGATTACCTTAAGTAAGACCAGAGCAAAACAATACAGCATAGATGAGAAAAGCAGATGAACAGAGTCAGTAAAAAGCATGTGAGCAAAAAGAATGTAGCGTGGAGACTCTTTAAAAACACGCTTACTCCCAAGAGCAAAGAGCATTACACCATTCACATATATAAAAAACAAAGGCATTAACATTGCAACAACATATTTTGTTATAGTTTTCTCATTTAGCACAAGATTAAACATTTGTTGATGTATGGACACAACCTCAACTGTGCTTTCATTAGAAACTGCCATGAGCTGTATAAATAATTAGTTTATATAATTCATACAGTAATTCATACAGTACAGAATGAAACACCACAAAGTGCCAGCACTTATTCACAGAACAGAAAAAAATATACAATGCAGATATTCATATCATGTACATGCTTAAATCTGTTATGTCCAGTACAAGACAACAGCAGTCATCCCATCACTGATCATCAGGGCGGTTATTTACTGGTCTTTTAAATTGTCCATGACATCATGTCACGATCCCGGAAGGTAAAATGGATTATGTACCTCTAGGGGGCTGTAAACTGAAGAAAGTTGTAAAGTATAGAAAATGAAGTCATAATAATGTAAAACTGATTATTGTTATTGTTATAATAATAATAATAATAATCAGTTTAACTTATATAGCACCTTTTGGAACCAAGTATGCTTTACAATACCAACAAAACACACAATGATAAACAAAACAAGTTCCCCCAGGTGGCAGTGGGGCAAACTCTCCAGACCACGACACAGGGTCACTCAGCTGGCCAGGAAAGAGTCCTTAGTCCACTAGAAAAGAATCAGTGGGTGGGTCCCTCTCAGCCTGGATGGCCTCGTAGCTGTGTTGCAGCATAGCTCAGTCAGCTGACCAGGGAGGACTCGTAAGGCAATGCAAGTTTATGTGCTTTACAAAAATCAAAAGCAAATAGAACATTAAAAGAAAAAAAGTGCTAAAGACTTGAATGGTAAAATAGGCAGTATTATTTAAGTTTTTTCCAGGACCCTAAGTGAGGATGTTTACCACCTGTAAGGTATAATGTATTCATGGATTAATAGTGCTAGCATTTAACCTCCAGGAGAGGATAACAGTTACCCTTGAGTTATTTCCAGCACCCTGACTGAGAAGGATCACACTTCCCTTCACTGGATGAACAGCAGCCAACTACAAGATTACTTTGATGTTATACACAAAATCTCTGAGGTATTATTCTGTCTTTAGGTAATAGTGTTGTAATAGTATTGAATCTCCTGTCTGTGGTGCTTTCCTATGTTTAGTTTGGATTCTAGGCTTGACTTGCTGACCTGTATCCATGGATCTAAGAGGCTTACTCTGTTTTTATCTTATACTATATCAGAGATGTATTCTGGGCCTACACCATTCACTGATACATGGATCATTCTGTAAGACTGGTTCACAGATTTGAAAACTCATTTTGGATTTTAAATGCCTTGGACTAACAACTAATATCATTTTGCTTTGATTGACCCTAAAACGTAATATGTTTATTTTATTAAGATAAATGAGTGAATGTTCTTTTTGTCACTACAGTCATAACACTACCCAAACTTTACCAAATGTTTCGGTAGTGACAAATTTAGATTGGATTTATTTTTATTAAAACACAAAAAGTGTACATAATCACAGAAAATGTGTTTCGAAACTGATTTTCAGACTTTATGACACATTTACTTCAAAATAATAGGGTCTAACTACTCACCATGTGCCCAAGAGGGACAGGGATGCAGTCTCATTTCCTGCTCTAAAATGCAGGGCAATGGCTAAAAAAAAATAAAATGACTAAAAAAATTTGTTTTAGTAGTGACACGAAAACATGACACACCATTTTTTCAATAATTTAAATTAATTACAGTGGGGCAAAAAAAGTATTTAGTCAGTCACTGATTGTGCAAGTTCTCCTACTTAGAAAGATGAGAGAGGTCTGTAATTTTCATCATAGGTACACTTCAACTATGAGAGACAAAATGAGAAAAAAAATCCAGGAAATCACTTTGTAGGATTTTTAAAGAATTTATTTGTAAATTATGGTGGAAAATAAGTATTTGGTCACCCACAAACAAGCAAGATTTCTGGCTCTCACAGACCTGTAACTTCTTCTTTAAGAAGCTCTTCTGTCCTCCACTCGTTACCTGTATTAATGGCACCTGTTTGACTTCGTTATCTGTATAAAAGACACCTGTCCACAGCCTCAAACAGTCAGACTCCAAACTCAACCATGGCCAAGACCAAAGAGCTGTCGAAGGACAACAGGAAGAAAATTGTAGACCTGCACCAGGCTGGGAAGAGTGAATCTACAATAGGCAAGCAGGTTGGTGTGAATAAATCAACTGTGGGAGTAATTGTAAGAAAATGGGAGACATACAAGACCATTGATAATGTCCCTCGATCTGGGGCCCCACACAAGATCTCATCCCGTGGGGTCAAAATGATCATGAGAACGGTGAGCAAAAATCCCAGAACTACACGGAGGGACCTGATGAATGACCTGCAGAGAGCTGGGACCACAGTAACAAAGGCTACCATCAGTAACACACTACGCCGAGAGGGATTCAAATCCTGCAGTGCCAGGCATGTCCCACTGCTTAAGCCAGTACATGTCCAGGCCCATCTGAAGTTTGCCAGAGAGCATATGGATGATCCAGAAGAGGATTGGGAGAATATCATGTGGTCAGATGAAACCGAAATAAAACTTTTTGGTAAAAAACTCAACTCGTCGTGTTTGGAGGAAAAAGAATGCTGAGTTGCATCCCAAGGACACCATACCTACTGTGAAGCATGGGGGTGGAAACATCATGCTTTGGGGCTGTTTTTCTGCAAAGGGGACAGGACGACTGATCCGTGTTAAGGGAAGAATGAACGGGGCCATGTATCATGAGATTTTAAGCCAAAACCTCTTTCCATCAGTGAGAGCATTGAAGATGGAACGTGGCTGGGTCTTCCAGCATGACAATGATCCCAAACACACCGCTCGGGCAACGAAGGAGTGACTCCATAAAAAGCATTTCAAGGTCCTGGAGTGGCCTAGCCAGTCTCCAGACCTCAACCCCATAGAAAATTTGTGGAGGGAGTTGAAAGTCCGTGTTGCCCAGCGACACCCCAAAACATCACTGCTCTAGAGGAGATCTGCATGGAGGAATGGGCCAAAATACCAGCTACAGTGTGTGCAAACCTGGTGAAGACTTACAGGAAACGTTTGACCTCTGTCATTGCCAACAAAGGTTATGTTACAAAGTATTGAGTTGAACTTTTGTTATTGACCAAATACTTATTTCCACCATAATTTACAAATAAATTCTTTAAAAATCCTACAAAGTGATTTCCTGGATTTTTTTCTCATTTTGTCTCTCATAGTTGAAGTGTACCTATGATGAAAATTACAGACCTCTCTCATCTTTCTAAGTAGGAGAACTTGCACAATCAGTGACTGACTAAACACTTTTTTGCCCCACTGTACATAATAAATTATAAAATTTAACTTATGACAAATGTAAGTCTTTCAACTTCAGTGTAAAAGAAATCAAAAATCTTTTTAAAAACAACATTGGAAAAAAATGAAAGTATTATCTTTAAGTTGATATTCATGGATTAGGGTTTCAGACAGTCACCTCTCAATAGAAAGTACTCTATAAATTATGATTTTATATACATTTCACTTATTACAATCTCTATTAATGCCCTGGGTTTTCATTAATAATATCACAATCCTTTGAAATATCTAAAGTCTGAATACTTTAATTAATTATTTGTCAACTTTCATTAATTAATTAAATAATTTTTTAGCACCACAGTTTGAACTAATTCAGTAGAATGATCCATATTGACCAGTAGCAGCGCTTTAAAAATCTATGATGTATCTAACTGGAAGCCAGTGTAAAGACTTTAAAAACCCAATTTCAAAAAGTTGGGACAGCAGAAAAAATGTAAATCAAAGCAGACAGCAGTGATTTGCAAATCCTTTTTGATCTGCATTCAACTGTATTTACTGTAAAACAGTAAAAAAAAATAATGTTTTAATTAATTAACTTGTTTTTATAATACAAAGTTTCTGGTGTTTAATCAAACAACCAACAGTTTTTGTATATATACATCTAGTCTACATTTGATGCCTGCAAAGTGTTCCACATTTAGCACTGTGTTACATCACATTTTATCACCTTACTCCATTGTTGTATATTGCATATTGTATATTAATAATATGCCATGTTTTCAAAGGGAGACAGGTCTGGAGTACAGGCAGACCAGTCTAGCACCCGTACTCTTTTACTTTAAAGCCACTCTGTTTTAACACCTGCAGAATGTGGCTTGGCATTGCCTTGCTGAAACAAGCAAGGGCGCCCCTGAAAAACATGAAAAAGTTGTCTACATGGCTGCATATGTTGCTCCAAAATGTGTGTTTACCCCTCAATATTAATGGTGGCTTCACAGACTTATTTGCAAGTTATCCATGCTGTGACAAACACTGGGCTTAAACTCTGCTTTGGTTTCCTCTTTAGCCTGGAGTGTTTGGCTCAAAGGGAGCGTATAAGAGTAGAACAAAAGAGTGGTCAGTCTGGATGCCCTCATAGCTGTGAATGTAGTTTTGACCAGGTGGCCAGCCTATGAAGTGTCTGAGCCACACTGGAAAGTAAAGAATGTTTTTGAAGTATGAATATAAAGTAGAGAATGTTACAGGCATGTCTTACAAGCTTCTGATATCAGTGTTTAAGGGAGATATAAATGTATAAATAATGTTAATCAGCTGGGACATTGAAGTCCACAGCTCTGTTTTTTATCCACCTTTTCCTGAACTTTAACGTTTTCCTCTAATTTTTAGCTGAGACCATTTTGTTTACAGTAGTGGATTTAAAAAATTACATTCACACCCTGCAGAAAAATATGATTCAAAAATTTTCTGTACCCAAAACATTTTGTCCCGTGAACCTACCCCCAGAAAGTCAGTGGATCATCTGAATTATGGATTTTGGTCCAAATATCTGTTTCTAAGTGTTTTTACTTCTCCTCCTCTTTGTTAAATGTAGTAGTTTCCTTACTACAAACTAGTAGCTTTCCAGATCCACTCAGAGCTGCAGCTGCCAGTCCATTACTGAAGACAAATCATTTGGGATGCTTATTTTAATATTTAGACCATTTTAGACCAACATGCACTTCTTAAGCAGAAATTGAAAATAGCTTTTGTCTTACTAAATTGAATACTTAAGCAGCTAAATATTTTTCCTCATCAGTAATGACATCAGTCAAGATTCACATCTGGTCAGATTACAGAAACTGTACTGCTGAGAGTTAATGAGCTCAAACTCAAAGCAGATGGAAACAACGTTGTGATCCTTTAATGCTTAACCTTTCTGCTACGTTTGATACTGCTGACCATAGTATACTGATAGACAAACCTGAGAGCAGTTGTCATTTGATATCATGACAATATGGTTATTTTGTAGTCATACTTTGTTTACTGAGTTTTATGTTTAGATCTCCAAGCTATAGCCTATGCTAGGGGTGGGTCATATGGCAAAAATATCATATCACAATACTTACTGTGATTTTTTGACACTCAAACACAATGCATTAGTAGTGCCACATTTAAAAACTGCTATCAAAAGTTTTGGGTGCAATGGTTTATTAGCAATATTTCACATTCATTGCTGCTCTAAATAGTTAAACAGCACTTATCATGCGAAGCATGCACTTGGTCAGTGTTCTTTAAATACTCAAATTATCCACAGTATATTCAGAAAAGCATATTGTTGACATAATGACAAAGTGACAACATTTATCATGATAATAATAAAATATTATTATATTGCCCATCTCTACTAGAGGCCATTGTCAAAACAAAATTGTAACCTTGCAAATTATGAAAATAATACAAGTACAGAAGAGGATGGTAGAACTTGTCCCCTTACTTGTCAAACCAGTTTTGCACTCCTGCAAATAACTAAATAAATAAATAGATAAATAAATATATATTCAGGGCAGAAATTTTACCCTAAGCCTACATTCTTCTAACCAGCATTTGATTCATCATGCTTACTGCTAATTTGAATTTGTTAAAAAAAGGAAGTTTCATATTTTTATTGGCAAGATGTTCAATGCCATATAAACAATACAGCTGAATTAAAAATGTTAGACCCCAGGCACACAGGCTGCTGTGACAGACAGTTATAAGTGAAAGAAATGCCTGTATCTGGCAATGCTGAACCAAGAACACAAGCTGCAAATAATAATGTTAATAAGCAATAACTAAAACATTTGACATATTGATGCATGCTTAAGTATGTTATTGTAAGTTCAATGCTCATCGACAGTTGGCTTGACTTTGCCAGTACCACAGCGGAAGTAACATATGAACAAGGGTCTCAAGGCCTTGTCCCTCAGTCCGTAGACGAGTGGGCTCAGGCAGCGGGGCAGAACCAGGACAAACAGAAGTGTCGAGTACCGCACGTCCAAGTAGAGAGTGCTGTTGCCCAGCATGGCCGCAGCTCGCTCTATGGCACTGAAGAGAAATGTAGTGAGACACAGGCATAGCTGAATGAAGTGCAGCAGCACAGTCCTGTAAGCTTTCTTCGCAGATTCTGTGTTAGAGGACACAGACCTGGCTGTGATCATAATGGTGATGTAAGTGAAGACGATGATCAGCGTCACTGACACAAAGTAAAGTACATTCAAGGCATTGAATACATCAAGTTGCCATGCTTTTATGAAGAGCGTCTCCCTTGTGCAAAATACCTTTGAACGTAAAAAGTTAGGGTCCAACACCGCTCTAAGAAACAAGTCAATCATAAAGTTTAAGGAGCCAACACACCAGGTTAAAACGATGGCGATGTAAGTCCTTTTCTGAGTGGCTATTTGTGTGTGTCTTAGAGGAAAGCATATGGCCACATAACGCTCCAGTGACATCACAGCCAGGTTTAGAGGAGTGTTACGAAAAGTTGCACTTGAAATGAAAACCATAAAAGCACAGGCAGCTGTGACTAACGGGAGGTAGGCCAGCCCAAGACAGTACATCACAGAGGTGAACATGAGGTGAATCGAGTCATTGAGAAGCATGTGAGCAAAGAGGATGTAGCGTGGTGTTTCTATGAATACACGCCTGCTTCTAAGAGCATACAGCATGACACCATTCATATACACAAAGAACAGAGACATTAACATCACAACAGCTAGCTTTGATATCGGTCCCTCATTCAGCACAACACTATACAGTTGTTGATACAGATAAAAAGCCTCAGCAGCACTTACATTAGAAATGTCCATAAGCTATATCAAGAATTAGATTTACATCATACAGTAATTTTTACAGATATTACCATGTTACAGTGCAGGACACGACACTACAAATAACACATTTAGACAGCAAAAAATATTTAAACAATGTAGATAGAATAGACAGACAACAGCGCCTGTATATGCCAGGAAGGTCCAGCACTAAGCAGCAGCGCTGTAATTCACTGGTTTTGTAACAATCCATGACATCACACTGGTGGTCCCAGAATGAGAAATGATGACACATCTCAGACTTAGAACAACAGACTTGATCTTACTACACTTACATCTCTGGGAGGTCATGATACAGTTTGTAATACAGCTTTTAATGTCATTCACATGTAGTGTATAGCTTTTTTCCCACAGTAAAGAATGAAATGGAAAAGTAAACAAAATGTATTGCAGCAATTATTTACAACACATTCCACTGAAATATATACATTTTCACTGAATGTATATATATGAAGGTCATGTTTATAGAAATTCATCACAGTTTCTTGGGCATGCAACAGTTAATGGTAATAATGTAATGTCCATCTCCTGTAATTTGCACATGATGAACAGCTTTTTTCAGGAAAAAAATGCAAAAAAAAATAAAATGGAAAAGGTAAAATCTAAAATCATAGAAAAGACAGTAATATAGCAATCATTTTCACACTCCTTAGAATCAATCCTTTTTTAACACAAATGAAATAATTTACATTAAAATTCATTGAAAAGTTTTTAAACTCCATCCTAATGCTGATTTCTTTGTAAAGCTGCTTTGTGATAACACCTGTTATAAAAAGCGCTATATAAATAAACTTTACTTACTTACTTACTAAAGAAAATTTGCAAGTAACCCACCTTCTTAACAATGTAGACCCCTGATTATCAAACCAGGAACTGGTGCAGCAGCCTAGATTTACAGTAGAATACCCAAAAATCTCTTGATATTTCTGAGAGTTGCTTGAGGAAGCCCTCATTCAAATGTGCCTTTATGTGACTGCAATATGTCCTTGCAGTGTTCCTAAATTAAAGGAATATTTTCTAAAAATGGAACTGAACCAGAGAGGCTTTCATTGGTAACAAGCACTTTAACTCAGTCACTCAAATAGCAAAAAAAATAATAATTCTAGAAATGCATCACTATAACTTCTCTCAACACCGCATCTAGGTCTTATAAGGTTATGCAGAAATGCTGATGGGGGTTAGGGCAACAGCATCCAGAAATTCTGCCAACTTATCTGGGCTCAAACTCATCTGAAATGGACTGATGCACAGCGGAAAAAGAAAATGGCCATCCAGATTGTTAAAGGCGTAAAGTTCGAAAGACAGGCTCTGTCAAGGTACGAGGGGTATTAGTGGATAACTTGCACATATGTGAAGGCACCATTCATGCTGAACACATTTTAGAGAAATTGAAGACTTATTTAACTGAAAAATGGCATATTTAAATTGAATAGCAAGGAACCCAATATTAACCCCTGTTGGTTACTACATGGAGTGTTGAAGTATATGTGTCCAGTGTGATGTTAGTTTTCTCAATTACTTATGTAAGATCTAAACTATTCTAAAACAGATCCAGAGAGTACCACCCAGTTATAGAGCTAGTTAAATAGATCAACTGTGTCAAAGGCTGTGCAAGAAGAACCAGGATAGAGAGATTTATTTTTATATATTTCATGTTCTAATATTTATTTAGTCTGCATCTCTTAAAACTTCTCAGGTCATTTAGTACTTTGAGAATAGCTGTTACAGTGCAATGGTGGGCCCAAAAGCCAGATTGAAATAATTAATTTTTGCCTACTCTATTATTTTAACAGGAAATGGAAGGTTAGAGATAAGTCTATGTTATTAATATGGACACATCAATATTTCTCTTTTTTAGCAAGGCCCTGACAGCTGTTTTGAGATTGTGAGGATAAATTCAGTGCTGAAGTGACAACTAACTAAATATTGAAGACCTCACCAGAAAGAGTCCAAAGCTATTTTAAAAAGTGAGTGGGGAAAAGAAGTTGAGGGTTGTTTGTTTTATCATCAATTTTGATATGTAAGCTTTCTCAAGCAGTTTAATTTCACTGATCATCAATTTCAGTTGTTGTTAATAAACGTCACAGTGCACAGTTAGCTTTGTGCACCAACATTGTCTCTCTGCTCTTCCATATTTTTTTTCACAGAAACAACTAGTGTCACAGGATGCTGGGCCCATATGAGTTGAATAGTACACTGAAAAGTATTTATGAAGTTGTTAGCTGATTCACCTGAAAGATAGTGCTTAGTTGAATGGATGTTGAGTGGACATTTTTGATTCTTGGCCTATTATCGTCCCAGCAGTGACACAGAAGTGTGTAAAAACGTCAACAACACTGCTGTGTCTGATACACTTGTACCAATGCAACACTCACAAACATGTTGCTTCCATATTGGTATTGCTACTGTGCTGAGGGTGGCCCACCATCCAAAAAATATCTGGTCAGTGGTAGTCCTTTGTCATGGAGTGGGTAGGTAAAGGAGGCTGAAAAATTGTGTACAGCAACAGACGGGCTACAGTCAGTAATTGAAAACCTACAAAGTGCACAGATGGCAGGCTGACCTCATAAAATGGCCACTGAATGTAGGTACCTAAAACTGGCAGCAGTTATTAAACCATTACTAAGAGTCCAGCAGGCTGTCCACATTTTTGCATTAACATCTGTACTGGGTGTTCACTAGTATCACTTAAGTGGTTGTGTGGGAGTGCTCACAGTAGAGAGAGATTTTATTTAACAGAGTTTCAAAGTCTGAAAAAACAATAGAGCCTTTTAAAGTCCAGATGCCTCCAAGGGACTGGGGTCACCTCTTCAGTCGGAGAAAACTAGCTTCAGGAGCAGGCACAAGGATCTCGCAGCTGGGGCAGTGTGGTCCAGGGCTCGGCTGGATGTAAGAGAGAGAGAGAGAGAGAGAGAGATAGAAAGAATGAACAGACAGGCTGGGAGAAAGACACCAGGTGTTAGGTCTCTTGGTAAGTGGAATACTCAGTCATTCACCTGACTGAGCCTTTTATGGTAAAGACTATGTCTGGGTGAGCGAACACAGCTGGTGTCATTAGCAGCAGCCAGGCGTTTGAAATCCTGGGCCCCGCCCCTGAGACCACATGGTTGCCTTCTGTCCACAGCCGGAGGTGCTGAAACTTGATAGCTCCAGTCAGCACCTCGGAGAGCTGCCTTCAGCTGCCACGACATAGAAAAACAGGTCTGACCAGTATGGTGGGCCTGCTGCCAGCCACAGTTGGTTTAGGTGGGTTAGGAGCTAAGCTACAGCAAAAAATATAGACCATCTGGTGGGCCCTAGGACTGTTTTGAGAAGCACTGTGTCAATTAGATCCATGGCAGAGTGTCTACGAAAGCAATGTTGAGAATATTTTCAACCATCTCAGCAGTCTTTCTAAGTGAGCAACTCTTGGTCTTTAATGTGTTAATAGGGAAAGAGAAGTCAGCATGCTTGGTCTTCCACAACAAGGACCTTTAGTGTCTAATACTGATTTCTACAGTGTAAAGATCTGAGAAATGTGGTATTTGCCTTTATCTTCAGATGTTAATTCATTTTCTGTTAACTTTTCTTGGTGATGGGAAATTCAGCATAAAAATACCAAGTAACCTTTGAGTTGAACATCATTTTGTTTACTTTCTCACATATATAAAAATTCACAAATACAAATGTATCCAAACATCTGCTCTTATTTTGGGAGTCTCAGGCATTGTAGTTTTACTATATTTGTATTCTGACAATACAACCTATGTAGCCTACTCAAGAGGTGCTTATGTACACATAAAGATTGGTGACAGATTAATAGAAAAACCTGGATGAAAGAGTCGAGAAATGTAATGACAGATGTTTCCAAACAAGAGAGTTCTGGGAAAGGGGGTTCATTACTGGGACATAAGCTTCAGTCACAAAGACCACTCAACTGGCTAGTGTTTCATTAGAAACAAGAACTAAAATGACACCCGCATTTAGATCTATGGGAAAGACGTCAGTAAATAGGTTTGAAATTAAATTATGGTGTTGCTTGTGCATTAGTGCAATACATAAGGAAAAACTGAGGAGCTACTGTGATCAGACTGTGTCAGCAAAAACAGTCCATCCGTATCTACTTAAGGAAGGATATTACAGTGGTGTTTCCATGCATAAACCCCTCATTACAAAGACAAATGCATACTTAAGAGTTCAGAGCTTTAAAAACCATAGGCACCGGTCTACAGAGATGTGGACAAACTGATATGATCAGATGAGTCATCATTCACAATATTCTTCACAAATAGGTGAGTGAATTTGTGGCATTCACCAAAAGAAATGTACAGGCCTGAATTCCAGACCCTACAGTGAGCAGGCTATTTTATGCAGTGGGGGGCACTATTTAGGCCCACATTTCCCCTTCATTAGAAGACTGATCACCTACCAAGACGGCTCACTAAATGGTTTGATGAATATAAAAATGATGTAAATCATATGGCCTTCACTCACCAGATCTCAACTCAACTGAACACCTATGGAGATTTTGTGCCGGGGTGTACAACTCCGGTCCTGCAGGGCCGATGTCTAGCACAGATTGGTGAATTACCTGTTTAGACACACTTGATTACGCTCAGCTTAATTGCCAGCTTAGTGGGTGTGTTTGATTAGTGAAACCTCCAAGCTGTGCTGGACACCGTCGCACCAGGACCTGAGCGGTGCACCCCTGGTCTATGCCAAGGCACTTTGAAGATGTTCTGGTGGCTCAGGGAAGCCCAACACCTTCCTAAGACACTTTACATAGTTTTTTCCTTTGTCACCCAACTGTATTTGTGTGGAATTATGTATAGCTATTGGGGGCACCACTGAAATAACAATTTAAAAATGTTTTAATTTCTTATTCTAGCAGCATAGTTTTCCTCTTTATCTACTATTTGTACACAGTTGAATAGTCATTTGTGCTTTGAGTCACTTGCTGGCAGCTGATATTCTGGTTGTACACTTTAGTCAAAGCACATTGACTGCAGGTTTTACTTTGCTAGTTGCATAGCAGAAATAATATTTGAATAAATGCCATACGGCATCGTCTCTTAGTCCATAGATGAGAGGGCTCAGGCAGCGGGGCAGGATCAGGACAATAAGAAAGTTCAGATATCGCAGATGTATAAACAGAGAGCTGCTGCTACCAGTTATCATATAAAGAGTTCTCTCTATGGTGCCATATAGAAAAGAGGTGAGGCACAGGCCCAGCTGAATGAGGTGCAGCAGCACAGTCTTGTGGGCTTTCTTAGCAGAGTCTTTATGGGAGGACACAGACCTGGCTGCGACCATAATGCTGATGTAGGTGAAGATGATGATCACAGTCACTGACAGAAAATAAAGAATCTCAAATCCTTGAGCCTTGTCAGCCTGCCACTTGGCCATGAAAAGTTTCTCTCTTGTGCAAAATGTGATCTTAACTAGTTGGTTGGGATCAGTAATGAATTCAAATATGATGTCTATCAAAAAGTTCAGGAAGCTGAGGAACCAAATAATTCCTATAGCAATGGCAGTGCTTCTCTGGGTGGCAATGGTGGAGTGCCTCAGAGGGTAACAGATAGCCACATAGCGCTCCAGGGACATCACAGCCAGTGTCAGAGGAGCATTCTGGAAAGTGCAGGAAGAAATCAGGACTAACAGCCAGCAGATTCCTTTAGCCACATGAAGAAGAGCAAGAGACATAGCATACATTACAGTCGTGACCAGCAGCAGCACAGAGTCATTGAATAACATGTGGGCAAACAGAATGTACCGGGGCGTCTCATGGAATATAGGCTTGCTCCTTAGAGCAAAAAGCATGATGCCATTTATATAGACAAAGAACAGAGACATCAGGACCACCACTGCAATCTTAGACCCGGTGGCAGCATCAAAGTCCACTTTGTAGACCTGTTCATAGGTGAACAGCTGCTTGTCATTGGTGCTGTTGATTTCCGCCATGCGCTATGGACAAATAAACATAAGTCTCAATAGATCACAGGACAAATCACTCCAAAATGAGTTGCGCTACAGCAAGCATTTTTCTTATTTGATTGCAACATAGATATTAACTTGATATTATTTTAAATGAACTTCATTCAAAAGAGGAAAGAAGGGAAAGGAAGACATAAGAGACAGACCTGCACTGTAGGTGGAATAAATGCCACAGACTGTTATGCTTCCATGTGCTGCAGCGTGTGGTTCTCCACTATACAGAAAGGAGCCCTCCAACTCCTGGACTTATGTAGCCTTAACAGCGTGGGTCAGTCATTGTCTCTTTAGGGGAATGATATGTGTGTCAAGTGTATGTATGTATGTGTGTGTGTTTGCGCTGCCAAGGAGCCATATTTGCTTTTCTATTTTTTTAATTACACTGACACCAGCCTGAATGATTTGAATATTATTTACTGTTGGAAGTTATATTTTCTATTTTTTATGAAACTAAAATTTGGTGATTTTTTAGCATGGCTTGATAGATATCGGAATGGGAATAATACAGTTGTATGCAAAAGTTTGGGTGTCCCTGGTCAAATATATATATATATATATTTGTTGTTGGGACAAAACCTCTCCATCTTCATTTTATACCCATATTTAAAATTTTACAATCACCATCTGCCCTTTACACTGTATCAAAAGATTTCAAGATGACCAATAGAAATGGTCCAAAATGACTTGGAACAGGCACTGAACATTAGGGCTATTTTTCCTCCTCTTGTAAAGTCACCTTTTTGGAGTTACTATGTTTAGAATTTGAATAGTTGTTGCTCTCCAGATCCTCAAAATCTCTAAATCCTTCTGCTGCTACATTATACTACTTACCTACCAGTCAGGGCTGGTCTTAGTTCTGTCTCTGCCTTCTCTCTAACTGTAAACAATATGACTTCTGCTTTGGAGAAGAGACAGCATTTTGCAACCCTTTTTATTGACATTTCAAAGGCCTCTGACACAGCTGCACTGTGCTGTTCCTTGCTGCTAAATCCACTGTCAGTTATTGGTTTGATGCCACCTTGTGTAAAGGTTAAAATGCAAATGAAACCAAATTTATGTTGTGCCACAGCAATATTTGCTTTAGAGGGCAGGACACTGAATGTGTCTGCAAACTGAATTTCCTCTTTAAATATTTTTGAATTTGTTTGATGGAAATTTTCATATATATATATATATATATATATATATATATATATATATATATATATATCAATCTCCAATGGATGTATTACAGAGAAAATGTAAAATATTTCAGTGTTACTGTAATTGTTCAATGTTTTATTTGTATTTTGTGTTTTATGTAACCCAAAATCACGTAAAATGAGCACTAGTGTTTTTTATGAGATGCTTTGTCATTACACCAATGCTCCAATATTTCAGAACCTGAATGCTAATTTATTTATGTTGAAAGGGACTGAAGAATTTCTTATTACATTCAGCACACTTACAATTTCTTTTCTTAGTATTTAGATTTTTCTAATAATACAGATATAAAGACATAAGATACAGAGGGACTAAAGTATAGGCCTCGGACAGAATCCTAATAGTCAGTCAGTAAACAGCAAAGTTAATACATGCAGACAGGCTCACGGGTGCAAGTGCATCAACAGTCCCTCCAACCTTGTCCCCTGGTGCCCTCATTACTACATTCATGAATCATTTATGCATCCTCTGTCCATCATGTGTTTAATCCTGTCATAGATGTGAAAACACAGTTTCTTTTGGGACATAATCTATGATGTACTCAGACTCTGTGGACAAGAAGTTAGGAAAGCAAGGAGGGATGGAAACTGATGCATGTGCATGTACATAAAGCAAGAAACAAGGCTGCAAAAATATGGAAAACAAATCTCACGTAACACTGAGTAATGGAGGAGTCAGCCAGCCCATGCTTCCTGTTAAAGTTTCAGTAAGTTTGAAAGAGCTCCATGGCACCAAACCCCTTTGCACTGTCATGGCTTTTCCATAGAGGACCTTTGTTTATCTGCTTCATAATGACATGTGCCATAAAAAGTCATAAGACAGGCTTTGAATAATTAATGCCTCGACATTGATGCTTTGGGGTGTTTTTTAAATGCTCCCCAGTGTGTTTCGCTAAGCTTGTTTAACAAAAACATGTTTACTCTACAGTTGTCTGTTTGCTTCACTTTCCACACAAGAGTATTAAGTGTACTTTTGATGGACATTCAGGCTTGAACTTTTGACTACTCACTGTAAACGTGAGAAACCGGAAGGTTGATGGTTTGAGGGGGTGAAAACGAGCACAGTTAGTAAGGACCTTTGACCATGAGTCCTTTTCTATGGGTGTGTGTGCATGTGTGTGTGTGGGTGAGTGTTTTTGTGGTGGGGTAGGGGGATGGGTGGGGGTGTCTCTGAAGGTGATTGAATTACAGAATGTAAGTTTATTGTTCTTGCTTGGACATTTGTATTCTACACGCATAAGAATTATATTCTTTCACATGCAGCTCTACTAAGACATAGCTTAGTAAAGGGCTATGGCTTAATAAGAGCTTTAGAAATGCTTTATCCTCTCTAGTTACTGCTTAATAATGTAGTAACGGGCAGCCAGTTAAGTTGTAGTTAAGGTACTTACCAGCTGTTGGCTACATAAAGCTTAATAATGGCATACTAAGGACACCTAAAATGTTTATGATGTATACATATACACACAAATATACACAGAGTTTTATGTATCATACAAGAATAGGTGCTCTGGAAAATGTTTAATTCACCCAGTTATCACTTTATAAAGTAGTAATGAGAAGCCAGTTGATTACCAACTACTGACTTGTTGAGGCTTAATGAGTGCATTATAAAGGTGTTATAATGCCCTGCTGTTCATGAGTATTCATACATTAAAAAAAATAATACTTTTACTAATCAAGTATATTTGTGAGAAAAGTAATCTCCTACTCTTTTAGTTACCAGTTCCTTTTTTGTGTTTGCTTTCATTGTGGTACATTGGTGACATAATCTGTACTTGGCAACTGGCAATTTTCTGACTTTTGTGCTTTATCAATTTATTCAAGTGTTTATTTTATTTTACACCGAGAGTACATCACAAGAACAGAGTTTGTTTCCTGTGCTGGATGTACTCCACAACCATTTATTTATTTGGTACATTTTCACTTGTACTCAACTAATCGTTTGTAAAGGAACTCAGTATCTGACTCAGTATTTCAAATAGGTAACAACACTTTTATCTGAGTGTGGGTTTAGGCCACCCTACACATCTCTGATTTTAACGGTTCATGCTTTTATGGCACTTCTCGCCTTCCCCGCCTTTCTCCTGCAGGTATGCTACAGGAAGTGGCCTGTTTTACAGGTTATTCTACAGCCACCTGTAGCTGCTACTACTCATGTACCTTTTTGCTCACTGCTGTACCCGGTTTTTGTAGTCAAGTGTTTTACCGCATAAAAATAGTTCCTGTGAATGAGACGACTGACCTCGGCAGTACAGACTAAAGGCCCTCCTTGAGCAGGTGTCTTAGTGGTTTAGTAACTCGGGTTTGGACTTGGCTAAACGGCACACCCAGCACACAGTTCGGCGGTACAGCAGCCTCGATGACGCCGTGAAGGCGAGAACACGGCCAGCTATCGTGAGGCATACCGGAGCTACAGGATACTAAAGCCTCCGCAACCTGACAGTAACATGGAGCCACTGAGGAATGGAGGCAAGAACAGCCAGAAACCCCCGGTATGATTGGTGATGTCCCTTACACATAACCATGTCATCTCCATGTCGTGTGAAGGCAATGTTGTAGAGGTTAAAGTCCTTATTATCACCAGGGCCTACGCCCATTTCCAGACTACACTGTGGTGGTGTTCGTTGTTGGGATATGGGGGTTGGTTGGGGAGCGTTCTGGGGTCTACAGTACTCTTAAGGTTAACAAACGACGGTTCAGTAGAGGGCACTGGTATCAAGACAGGCCTAGTACTGTTTGTTGACGTTTGTGTACATAATTTACACAATCCTGTATTTTCGGTGGCTGTGATTGATTTTGAACGCTGTTTTACACAGCTTTTTCAACAGAGTTGCTTTTTATGGCCCTTATTCATAAGTCTCTAAGATGTATTTCTATCCCTCTAAATGTATTTTAACACTAAGTTTAGTTGTAGATTATATTCCTAAGGCCTCAAACGCTGCTAGCTTTCCGTAGAGAACTTCAGTAGAGAACTTAAGATTCTATTATGATCCAAATACCTCTAAATAGTAAACTGCATATGCATGTAACATGTAATAATTCACTGTGTATTGATTTTTGGACGAAACGGTAGTCTTAATTGTTCAAACTCATTGGCAACTGAATAATTGATGTGATTCATATTGTTTATTTATGCAGTCATAATGACATCACTGTCAAGTTTCTGTAATATAGATTTGTACATAGCATCCAGCCCATAGACAGCACTACTGGAATGTAAGCTTGTTATTAAAGGGGATGACTATTCAAAACTATTGTGAAACATTGTCTTAGTCATCAGGCAGCATATTCATAACTATTTCATGTTAATACTTTCTGTGAGGAAGCTTTTAGACTCTTTAGACTCAGATTCTGGTTGGCACATTCCATAACAAACTACTCTGAAGTACTTTGTTTACATCTTGATCATTTCATTATTCATTTTGAAAAAAATGGTGGATTTTTCTCCTTACTTTGATATATATGATATAAAGCAATGACGTTTACAGCAGAATAACCTTAATCTTACTCTCTAAAGGATTCTTGAACTTGAATGACATGACTCATAACACGCATACCAAAGGTGTCCCTAAAAGGTGTGGAGGACATGAAGGGCGTGAACATTTTGTCGTGTTATGCTGTTTATGACATTGTGTTAGCAGCCATTTCCATTACTGTGTCTCTTGTTACTGAATGTCCAAATAACCTTTAAAGGGGGAAAACATGGTTGTGTCTTTATGTATATATATATATATATATATATATATATATATATATATATATATATATATATATATGTGTGTGTGTGTGTGTGTGTATGTTTTAGTTTTTTTAGTTCCTGCTTATTTCACTTGCTGTTCTGACACATCTGTAGGATGATGACCCATCAGAGATTTTCCTCCCTTCACCTGCGGGGAGGAAGATGGAGAAGAACAACCTGCCATGCAGAACCATTACCATTGTAGTGATTGTTGTAACCATATTAGCAGCATTGCTTGCGCTAACCATAGGATTGCTAGTGTGGCACTTTCATTGTAAGTACTCTGACCTGACACTCCACAGAATAAATGCAGAGTTTTTTTTCTTATACATAGCATATAATAATGCTCATTTTTGTCTCATGTAGTGAGGACAGAGAGCAGAGTAAAGAAGGTTATCAGTGGTTCCATGACAATCTCCAATCAGAGATTCTCAGACAGTTATGAGGACTCTAACAGTAGGCAGTTCAAAGAGCTGGCCTTGCGGGTCTCAGAGCAAGTGAGTTAATTATCTGTGACATTTTATTCCGATGCTTTGCTTTTTTATTAGGCCTGTAATAATAATCATGTACCAGAGTAACTTGTCTTAGCATAATTCTAAGTTTCAAGCGCTTGTCTTTCAGATGAAAGGTATATACAGTCATTCCCCAGTACTGTCCAAATATTATGTCAAGTCCAGTGTTCAAGCCTTCAGGTAAGGAATTTAAATTCAGAGTCAAGCTTCTCTCATTATTTGGCATTCACCTGGTTCTAGCTAGCTAAGCATTTTTCCATTGTATATTTCAAATGTTATAATATTAACAAAATGTTGCTGTCCTTTTCAGTGAATCCAGTGATAACAACGTCATAGCCTACTACCTCTCGGAGTTCAGTGTGCCAGTGGCTCAGTCATCTGCTGTGGATAAGGCCATCAACTCCCCTGAGGAAGCTGTGGGGCCCAAGCAAGGCCGCATGAGGTTGAGTCTGGGCCGTAAGCCTGGCAGCATCCTGGTTATCGACAAAATGATGTCTGGAGGTACCTAAGGCTTGTATCACAATGTTTTATTGTTGGTTATGGTTTGAAGAATTCTTTAGTTTCAGTGCATTCGGCGTGTTTACTGGCAATTAGGTTCCAAGTTAGCTGCTCTCTTCATGTTGTGAACATGGGCTATGTGGGTGCTGCATGCATGCACAGTGAAAAAAACACAAATTCCAATAATCCAATCATTCTCATTAAGGTTTAAGGTTACACAATCACAAATCAGATATGTATGCAATTTAGGACCACATATGAAACTGATTGATTCAAGATCTGATTTGAAAAGCCTGGCAACATCCTGCTTATCAACAACATGATGTCTTGAGGTTCCTAAGGCTTGTATTACAATTTCATACTGTTGGTATCGGTTTGAAGAATTCTTTAGTTATTTAATGCAAGTACATTTTATGTATTGTTTGTCTATAGTCACATTTTTGGGTAACACTTTACTGACCAGCAGCGTTCATAAGGCTGCACAAAACCTTCAAAAGCCTTTCATGACAGCTGACATAAACCTGTATAAGCATTTATGAAGGCTTATTCCGTGACATAATAAAAGTGTCAAAATTGACAGCTGATGTTTGTTGGAATAAGCCTTTATGAATGTTTATATAGGTTTAAGTCAGTTTTTTTTAGAATTAGTCTTTGTTATGTCAGTTTTAGGTTTATGTAGGTGTCATGTAGCCTTATGAATGCTGCCCTTCAGTAAAGTGTTACCATTTTTTGTTAAATTATGAAATAAATAAGATCATATTGTCTCAGTCACTCCAAAAAATGAAGATTTTTAATGTGTTGTTTTAATTTATTGTCACAGCTGTGGATGCTCGGCTTGTTAATGCCACTTCTAGACGTGAGTGAAAGATCTTTTTCAAATGAGTCAGATTTTAGATCAGATACTTTGTGATTTTAGGTACTTACTGACTTTGTTCCTTCTGTCAGGTCACTATAAGAATGCTCACCACTCCCATATGGGAGAGTTAGGCACCATCGAGTCCCCAGGCTTTCCTAATTTTCACTACCCTCCAAACGTCTATGTTGAGTGGCAGCTCCGTGCTGACCCTGCTCACAGAATCAGATTGGAGTTCACAGCCCTCCACCTGGAGAAAGACTGCAACAACGATTTCATCAAAATATATGATTCTCTAGTCCCTACTGAGAAGCAGGTCATTGCAGAGTGAGTAGTCTTTGTATTTCAGTACTTTTAGTGCTTAGAGTTTGTGATTTCGGATTTTTTTGTTAAAATCTGCCTTGATGGTTCACATTCATGTGTGAAACATACTTTAGTATGAACGAACCTGTGTCCTGATCAGTAGCGTCATGTTAATGATCCATGTGTGTCATGATCAACAACAGCAATAAACTAGCAGAATAAACTAGTAGCATGAGCCTTTACCTCAGCTGTTCATGATTAGGGAAGAAGGTTTGAAAAGACCGTGTGCTTCAGTGCATTCGTAGCGTTTACTGGCAGTTGAGTTTCGAGTTATCTGCTTTCTTCATGTTGCGAACATGGGCTATGTGGGTGTTATGTGCATGCGCAGTGGAAATGTGAAAGTGAAAACACACATAAATTCCAAAAGGCTTAAGGTTACATTGTCACAAATCAGATATGTATGCAGTCTAGGCCGCATATGAAAGTGGTTCAGATCTGATGCGTTAACTTTAGATGTTCACAGTCTCATTAAAGCAAAAAAATCAGATTTTGCTTTAACTTGGTTATGCACGAAGCTATAGTGGCACGTTAGTTTGTGTAGCACTAACATGAGACAGTACAGGTGAGTAGGGTAATTTTAAATTGGTAGAATAGAATAGAATAAACCTTTGCAAGTTGATTACTGATATTCTTACAAGTACATCTTTGTATATAAGTTTTGCAAAAACTTTGCATTTAGACATGCAAATAAGATATTTACAACTTGTGCATCCATTTGCAAATTTTAAAAAACACAAAATCTAGCTTTTGGGTAATGTTAGAATTAAAATCTATATTTCATTGTGAAAACAGGCTCCAGAGAAAGGACTTTACAGAGCAGATTATTGAAATTAAAACTGAGTAATTGAAATTGCTAACTTTTAGAACATACAGTTATACGTGAGTGGACACATTTATGTTTTTACATTTTTATGATTACTCTTTAAGAAAAGACTATGTTATAGATGCAATTCATCAAAAAGTCTGAGAAATGATTAACCGAACCAAACAATCATTTCTGCCTTTAGTGTCTTTCTTTAAACACCTCAGCTGGGTTGAGAATAGTTCACCAACCAAAAAATCTCCAGCCAGCAATGATTATGTAGCCTTCGCTGAAAAAATGGGGCATTGAATTTACAAGATTCAAATCAAGTGGTTGCACATGACGTTCATTTCACATGCAGCCATTTGACACATTTGAAGCACAATTTTTTCAGTGGGGCTTAAGGATGGATAACACAAATGAATGGGAATGCCACATAAATGGAAAAGATGTACATGTATATGGCCAGCAATATAAACAGCTACTGTGCCTGAAACACTCATACCAGTGCAATGCTTACTAACACACCACTACCATGTAAGTATTACTGTTATACTGAGAATGATCCATCACCCAAAAATGATCTGGTCAGTGGTGGTCCAATGGTGGTAGAGAATGGCTGTTGAATCAGCAGATGGGCTACCGTCAGTAATTGTAAGCCTACATAGTGCGCCTATATGGTAAATATACATGGGAAAGTAGTTAGTAAATGTAGACAGGGCTGACCAAAAGGGTGGGAAAGAGGCAGAACTTTCAGGGGCCCTGCCCCTAGGGGGGCCCAAGAGGCTGATCATTCAGAATGCATGACGCTGGAACATGTGTTGACAGTCACGAAAAAATAGGGCTCCTCTCTGACATTACAGTTTAACCCCTGTGTATTCCCCTTTGCACATTTAAGTATCAGTTTAACATAGCATGCACATCCTAAAATTTCTAGTGCACATCCTAGTGATTTTACTGTTTATTTTTACTGTACCATTTTAAAATAAATAATAAAATAATAAGAATGTCTTACCTAGAATAGACTGATATTAATTGTAATGTTCATTGTGCAATTGTAATACCTACAAAAATACAAAGATCAGCTTGTATTCAGTATCAGTACATACTCAATGTTAAAAAACTTGAATTTATGACAGGGTTAGGGGGTTTTTCGTCTTACCCTCTTTAGATAGAGGTGGGGGGGTGTGGAGTGGGCAGCCAGCAGAATTTTTCAGGAGCCCTGCAGTCTCTTTGTGTGGGTCTAAATGTAGGAACAAGGCAGGTGTGGCAAATGAACAGGCAAATCAGTAGTATTTGTATTAACTATGACGGTAATTACTCTGAACTTAGACTCAAACTGCTACTATCATATTACACCCTTGTGATCAATAATCTGTCCAATATGTTCAGGAAGTGTGGATACTACACCCCCAATGAGCAGCTGATTTACCTTTCCTCTGGAAATGTCATGTTAGTTACACTGGTCACTAACAGAGAGAAGAATTTCCCAGGGTTCAGGGCGACATACTCCCAAGTCCCTGTAAAATCCCAAGGTACATTTTTACAAAGTCATGATAGATATTGAACTCTGGATTCTCTCTTGTGGATGATGTAGCAATAATTACAATAATTAAAACCTACACTAATTTGACACTTATGTCTCCTTCAGAGTGTGGGGGGAAACTAACAGGAATGAATGGCACATTCACCTCTCCTGGCTTTCCTTCACGCTATCCTCCTCAGATCCAGTGCGTTTGGGACATTGAGGTAAGCAAAGTTTATTAATAGGCCATAGAGAATGCACTGGATAATTGACACCAGATATTTCTAATCTCATATTCCAGTTGTAGTGTTTTCTATTTATGCATCTATGTGCTGATTCTCAGGTTCCAGCAGGAAAGCATGTCAAAGTGAAGTTTAGCAAGTTTTCTCTGCATGAGCCACAACAGAACTCGCACCACTGTACCAAAGACTACTTGGAGATAAACAACAACAGGTTAGAGCTTTGAAAAATATTGAGAGCATTTAAAAGAAAAAAATGCTCCCTGTGAAGGGCTGTTCTAGATGTTTTCGTTCAGTTTATAAATAATGCATGCAAGTTATTTGTCTACGCATTTCAGTTTGCTAATGATATGTTTTATTTCATATGTTTAAGGATGTGTGGAGAAAAATCCACGAGCACAGTCCACTCCAGCAGGACCAACCAGATAACGGTCAAATTCTACTCCGACATGTCCTATGTGGACCAGGGCTTCTCGGCAGAGTTTGAGGCCTTTGAGCCCAATGATCGTACGCCAAACGATTTGTTCTCAAGCACATTAAAAAATATCCAATTTAAATATGCTGTGAGGATATTCATACTAATGTTTTAATGTACGAATACGTTAAAATGCTAGGTATACAAATGACCATATAATAATATGTCCATAATAACATACATTTGATTGTCCTGTATTCATAGCTTGTCCTGGGAAATTCCAGTGTGACAATGATGTCTGTGTTAACCCTAAGCTGAAGTGTGATGGCTACGATGACTGTGGAGACATGAGTGATGAGAAGAACTGTGGTAAGTTCAGAGCTGTCACTCTCCACAGAATTAACTGGGACACTCCCTTAAACTCCATGCATGCTTATGCATGCAGTGCTGCATTCTTTTTTGCACTTTTTAGTGTCACCTGACATGTTGTTTCTGCTTATAGTCTGTGAGGAGTTTCACGTCAAATGTAGGAACGGCTTCTGCAAGCCCAAATTCTGGCACTGTGATGGGGTGAATGACTGTGGTGACAACACAGATGAGGAGAACTGCGGTAAGAATGGAATCGCAAAGCTGATTATAGTCTATGTCATGACTATCTCTGATTATACAGAAAAAGAATTACTCACATGCATGTATGTCATACACTGGTGTTTGGCCAAGGATGCATTACAGACTTGGCCTTTGAGGCTAGTGTCCATGGGTTCTGGGGGGGCCTCAGACCAAAAGGTTAAAGATAGTATAGTCCAAACAGATATAAACATTAGATATAAAATAAATAGCTCCTTGAATACAAATAACTAAATGAAAAAAGGAATATTATCTTTTTTGAGGTCATGTAAGTTTTAGATTATTGTTGACTTGCCACTGACTTGTGTGTAAGACTGCTTCTGTTTTTGCATTATGACTCTGTTTGGCTTGAAAGGGAAAGAGAAGAAATCTTGATTCAAATCTTACAAAAAAATCATACACAAATATTGTTACAATGTAGGCAAAATATGATATTGCATGATAATAAGGCACATTTTTTCATTTAATTTCTCAAATAAATTTTCAGTGTTGGTCAAAGTGTACATGAACACGAATGTGAATTATTTTTAATGCCACTTTTCAGTTCTTTATTTTTTTATTTATTACATTGTTGGAAGGCACTGTGAACACTGTTGGAGTGCAGGGGGCCTCCAAAGAGCTGTTTTTGGTGTGTTTTTCCTGTCTGTTTACTTCAAGGAGGAAAACCACAATAAATGCCAGATATTCCAACAAGACAGTGCAAGAGGCCACACAATTCATTAAGCGATGTAATGAACTGGCACAATTTAAAACCCACTTAGATTTTCTGTGGACAGCAGTGAAGAAAGTGTGGCAAGCACTTTTAAATAATTTTAACTGTGTGGCATGTTGCATCTCACGTTGTCTTGTTGGAATATCCGCTGTTTATTGTAGACAAGATAAACACACCAAACACAGCTGCAAAACGTCAGTGTATGACATATGTGAATGTGATCAATTCTTTTTGACTGCCAATGTGGTTTGGCAAATATTTACAGTAGCTGTTTGCCACCTGTCTACAGGACACTGTAAAGCTGGAGAAGTTGCCTGTCGAAATGGCCGCTGTGTCCCTGAATACAAGAAGTGTGATGGCCATAATGACTGTGGTGATGGCACAGATGAATCCGAGTGCCCCAAATGTGAGCACACCTACTGCACACAGGCACCAATTGTTTCTTTTTAATCTTTTTAAAGATTAGAGAACAGACACACCTACCAAAATCTCTTGCTTTTTTAAATAAAAGAGTGTGATGTAATATGTAAACACTGATAAAGTTTCAAAACGTACCATTCACTTGCCAGTCCATACAGTCCATATATGGAAGCAAAGCTGCGGAAAATAGTCATGAATTACATCTGTTTTTGGTACATAAAACCACACAGATGTAATAAGAGAAACTTATTACAATCTATACAGGAAAATGTAGAATATGGGCTCTTTAAAAATATAAAATCACTGCGTAGTAAATTGCATATTTAATTTGTTGCTGTCCAAAAAAATCTCTAAAACAGTCATTTTACAGGAAAAGGCAAAAACACTCTTAGCATTTAATGTAAGTTCATGTAAGGAGATTCTAATTGCTGCCATTTTGGAGCATTTCTATTGCTCCATTTAAATGATGTTAAAAAATACATAGGAGATGTAGAAGAATTTAAATTATGCATCAGTATCATGCAAATTGCCAACTAATGATTGACAATTAATTGAGAAAATAAACTTTAATGGTTGTTTTTTTAAAATAGAGTAACATCCCTACTTTTCAGACACATACATGCTTGTGTACAGGCAGAGAATCAGCATGCAGTTTAACTTCTTTTCCTGTGTGTATTTAGCCGTAGTTCTCAGGTGCTCCGAGTACACCTACAAATGTAAGAATAACACGTGCATTAGTAAGCAGAACCCTCAGTGTGATGGGGAGCAAGACTGTGAGGACGGTTCAGATGAAGCAGACTGTGGTAAGTTCAAATGGCCGATGAACTTTATGGCTATTGTGACCATTATGACTCAGATAATTTCAATATACTCCATTACTGTTTTTACCCTAACAATATTTAATCCATTAGTGATGCTCTGTGTCTGTGGTTGCTGGTTTGTCTGTTAGCACCTCAGTGTGTGTCCTAATGTCCACCTGTATGCATATATGTGTTTTCTGCAGAGTGTGGTACGAGACCCTACAAAAGTTCCCGGATTGTGGGTGGTGAAGAATCAAGTGAAGGCGAGTGGCCCTGGCAGGTCAGCCTTCACATGAAAGGGCAGGGTCACGTGTGCGGAGCCTCTGTAATCAGCAACCTCTGGCTAGTCACTGCTGCCCATTGTGTACAAGACACTGAAAAGTTAATGTAAGCACATCTTCTCTTTTTTCCATCCCCACATGGATTCCAACTTAATGTCCTTCTCTTCTTTTCTTCTTTTCTTTTCTAATTCAGCATTTTTACTACTGGCGTTAAATGTGACAGCAAAACTCTTTACTGCAACAAAATCCCAATGACAAGCTGTGAATGTTAGTGAAGGTCTAGTTATCATCTTTACAGCAGACACCATAGTACGATGCATTATTTGCACTGTAGCTAGTAGGCCTACAAGATTAATAATGTAGTACATGGTGATTTTAAATATAATTCATGACACTACAAAAAATGGGAGTGTGCAAGGTCTAGCGGAGTTGGTGTGGATTGAAGCATTGTTTAAAGAGAAATTACACCAATTTTTCAAATGTTCTGCATAATTAAATCATCAAGATGTAAACACAGTTATTCGGAGTGGTTTGACGTTAAATTTGTCACTCTAGATAAACTTACTGAGTCAGAGTTGTTGACAGTGGTATTGATAGAAACCAGACATCTGAAGCATTTCATAACTCTAAAAGCTACCTCACAGATAGCTATTTCATGAAATGGTTTTGAATATGAAACCTGACGCCTAAGACATTGTTTCAGAATAGTTTTGAAGTAAGGCTTGGGACATATTTTTAAAAGCCGTTTATTGTGAAGAGGTAAAAGCTTGGCATTGTAAGATAAAACAGTACCCAATATAATTTATTTTTTGGATTTATCACTATTATCAGTATTAAACACACGTTTGTAGGCCCATCAGTCATTTTGTACAGTAGATTAAAAAGCTGGTTCCTCGTACATCCATTGTAACGAAATCTGAGGCAGTAAGTTTCTCTACAATGAACCATTTTAAATCAAAACTCAAATCTCAACCATTTAATCATGCAAAACATTTGAAAAATTGGTGGAATTCTCCTTTACAATTGATGTGTAGATGACTAAACAGCACTTCACAAACACTTTCAGTGAGAACTGGCATACATTCTTTTTACCTGAGGAATCCTCTGGGTGCAAAAAAAAAAATTATAACTGTGCTGTACCACCTGTATGCTTTCTGTATGCACAAGCCTTTATACTGGATATCTGGGCAGGTATTCTCAACCGGGCCAGTGGGAGGCCTACCTGGGGCTACTCACTCAGGGTAAAGCCAGTACTTCGACAGTACAGAAGAGTGTGAAGCAGATCATCTCACATCCTGAGTACAATCCCAAGACCTATGATAATGATATTGCCCTGATGGAGCTGGACAGCCCAGTTAATTTCAACCAGAATATCTGGCCTATCTGCCTACCTGCAGCCTCACATGAGTTCTCTGCAGGCCAGGCTGTGTGGATTACAGGCTGGGGCACAACCAGAGAGGACGGAAGTAAGTATAAATACATTTATTAGGGAAAAGAGGTTGATTGGATTTAGCAATGCATGCAAAAAAGAAACCAGATCATGTGCTAAATAGGTGCGTAAATATGCATCAGTGCATCTGAATGCTAAAGGTAGTGATTCGACTACATCCATTTTGGAATAACAGAATCTATTATAATTAATTTTAATAATCTGTAATAAAGTATGCACTCATTTTATTTTTGCCAAATTATAGCGTTGTCCCGTGACCCAGAAGGATAAGTGGTTTAGAAAATTTGTGTGTGTGTGTATGTTTATAGCACTGTGCAAATATCATATCTTTAATAATTTCCGGTAAAAATGGCCATTAGGACGTGTGTATATATTCTCCAGCAGCACTGCTGTGTCTGATCCACTCAGACCAGCGCAACACACACTAACACACCACCACCACAAAAGTGTTACTTGCAGTGCTGAAAATGATCCACCACCCAAATAGTACCTGCTCTGCGAGGGTCCATGGGGGTCCTGACTACTGAAGAACAGGGTAAAAGGGGGCTAACAAAGTATGCAGAGAAACAGATGGACTATAGTCTGTAATTGTAGAAATACAAAGTGCACCTATATAGTAAGTGAAGCTGGATGGACAATGAGCGTAGAAACAAGGAGGTGGTCATAATGTTATGCCTGATCAATGTATGTATATATATATATATATATATATATATATATATATATATAGTGGTCCTGTCCATTTGGCAAATGGGGTGAAAGGGGGATAACAAAGTATGCAGAGAAACTGATGGACTACGTGTAAACTCTGTGTGTAGATGTAAAGACTGGGGTACTGTACAACTGTATTGTCTTTGTGCTCCTGGCTCAGGTTTAGCATCAGTGCTGCAGAAAGCAGAGGTCCGCATCATCAATGACACAGTGTGCAATCAGCTGATGAATGATGAGATCACTCCACGCATGATCTGTGCTGGAGTTCTGGCTGGAGGAGTGGACGCCTGCCAGGTACAGAAAATTTACTTTTATTCCTGTTACCTTACATGTTTCATTTGCTCATATTCATAAACTCACTTCCTTCATGCACCCTCAGGGCGACTCAGGTGGGCCAATGTCCTCTGTAGACCCAGACAGCGGGCGTTTGTTTCTAGCTGGAGTGGTCAGCTGGGGGGATGGCTGTGGCCGAAAGAACAGGCCTGGTGTTTACACTCGGGTCACAAAATATCGCAGCTGGATCCAAGAGGAGTCTGGGGTATAGAGGCATAGGGTGTTTTTTCATCTCTAACATCCTACTTCGAGAGCTTGGCTTGAGACCAGCGAAGTCCGAATTCATGTGTGGAAACTTCAGCACTCAAACTCTGGGTCCATTATTAGGTTATTTATAACTACAATGCAACCAATATAATAATAATCTGTATTTAAGAGAATTGAATTATGGGCCCACATGTTAATGCAGGGGTGCCCAGTCCTAATACTGGAAATCCACCAGTTCCAACACACCTGGCTCTAATGTTCAGATGCCCCTAAAGGCCTTCATTACCTCGATCAAGTGTGTTAGATTAGGATTGTAGCCAAATTCTGCAGGGTGGTGGATCTCCAGGACCAGGATTGGGCACCCCTGTGTTAACTTAATCTGAATCCAAAAAGGAAGTATTGAATATGTTTGAATTATGTTTTGTTTGTTAGGAATTGTTAGTGATAATGTTCAACAGTGATTACTAATTCTGTCATTTTTATTATTTCATTTTAAGTTAATTTCTGGGCTTTGATTACTTCTGATGATTTCCCTAAGGTGAGATTTGTAAATATATTTACATCACTTTTTTGGAGGGGGGGGGGGTGCTGTTGCCCTTGTTATGTTTTTGTTTGTATGCAATTTTTAAAGTGTATGCATGTATGATTAAAAAGAACTGTTTACACATATGTTTCTATTCCTGGATTAGGCATGCCAGTGTATCTGTGGTCTGTATTGACGAGCCTAAATTGAAATAGAAGGAACTGTATTTAGACTCAAGTACTACTTAGTGTTTTCTTGTTATTTATGTGCAGTATTTATACTTATGAGGTCCATCATTACACCAGCCAATTTATGTATACCTTTTATTTTCCATTTTTGGAAATTTCTGGTGCAATAATGGACCTCATAAGGATACGTTTCTCAGGAGTTTTAAATGTGAATGAGTTTAAATTGTTAATGTTTCTTAGAAAACGTTAAAAGAAAAATGTTATAAATGTAGGGGATTCGGGTGAACTATTGTATTTATGTCTTTACTTTCATTCCCGTTCGCTATTTAGAATGTTCTATAAAATTATAGGACTTGAAATTTGGCCATTTAGTTTCCTGTTATGTTGTTTTTCATAGTTTCCACTTTATTCTGTAGTTGGATAAATTCTAAATTACTGTTTAGCTTGGGAACATCTCGTAATTGTTTTTTGCATATATTTTACTTTGTATGCAAAGAGCCGTGACTCACTCATTTAAGCTCATTTTAACCACGTTGTTAGACACATGCAGCCCTTACTCAGAATACATTCCCACTGTGTGCCTTATTTCTCTGACACACAAAAATAAAATTCGTAATAGTTTTATAAATGTACCTGGTTGTTTTTCGTCATAATTTTGCCGTAAATTACCAAACATTGGTCGTGCGTGTGTGAGACAAAGCAGAATGAACGTCGGCACAATTTAGAAGACGGAACGAAACGTACCGCGGTGCAGCGATGTTATTATTCCTACCTCTCCTTCGTGTGGCTAGCAGCTGTAGCTAGCTAGCTTTATTGTTCATTTTCCTCAGCACGCAAGGTAAGATGATTTACTTATGTATGTGGATCAGATACAAAGTGGATGTAGTATATATGCGCAGTATTCACCTAAGCTATTTGAAGAACTTGGAGAAGAGCACAACTTGCAGCAACGTTGCTTGCTGGTTAGCTAAGCCAGCTAAGGAAGCCACGCTAAAATGCTAAAAAGATTAGATATTAGAAAAAATGAAAGGTCTTTACAGAATGATTTCAGCTTTTTTCTTTTGACATAGAGCCATATTGATTATGACCTAAATAGCAAATAAATCTGGTTTGATTGGTTTGTTGTGGCGCTGTTAAGAGTGAAACTTTGCTAGCTGGCTAGCTAACGTAGTTAATGTCACTGTCTTAATTCATTTCATTCCTTTACAAGAGCAGGAACACAATACACTTGTTGAAGTCAACTGTGACCTCTTTTCGGATCTGCGTGGCTACTTTTTGTAGATTTGACAAAGTCGTCGCTAACTAGCTTGTTAGTGCATTTGAACAACTGAATGAGTCTCCTTAGGTTTCACGTTCTCATGTTCACAGAGAAAGGTAGCTAGATGAAACGGACTGTCTAACAAATATGTGTTCAATTTTGAGGTTCATAAAACATGGATTCGTTGGCTCATATGTTAACGGACCCCTTGGACTCAGGAATGGACACTGATGGCTGTGTAATGGAGGAGTGCATGTTGGGGAACTGCAGAGTTCGTATTCCAGAAGATTTTCTGGAGGATGTAAGTAACGTCATTCTCTGCACTGTAAGAAAATTACAATAATTTTACCATTTGTTCTTGTCATTAAATGGTGTGTGTGTGTGTGTGTGTGTGAATGCATGTGCGAGCAGCCAGAGATTTTCTTTTCTGTGATAAGTGAAAGTACATGGTCTGAGGTTCTGACAGATGCCCAGAGACAACACCTTCGTCAGCTCCTACCTCACTTTCCAGAGAACAACATTTCAGAGCAAGACAGGGTCATCAGCGACCTCTTCAACAACCAGAACTTCTGCTTTGGCAACCCTCTGCATCTTGCCCAAAAACTTTTCAGAGGTAGTTGAAATACTAGCTTATTACTTCTCAATCGGCCTGAAAGATTCCTCCACTCTCAGTGTATCCTATAAGGATATAACATGTTTTAAAAATCTGTCCTCAGATGGCTACTTTAACCCAGAGGTGGTTAAGTATAGGCAACTTTGTGCAAAGTCCCAGAGAAAAAGACACATCTACTCCCTCCAGCAGTACTACCACAAATTGCTCAAGCAAATTCTTGTCTCCAGAAAGGTATACTAAATTAAAAAAAATAGGTGCTTAAATTGTTAATAACTTATTTATTTTTTGGGCAAGCTACATAGTCATTCATTCTGTAATGTCATTTTTTTGTTTCTGTGTAGGAGTTACTGGATCTGGCTGTTCGCAGTGGTCCTGAGCTGTCTGTGAAACGGCGCTATACTGTCCCCTCCCACAAGGAGGTGCAAGAGCAGCGTGTCAGGCACAGAGTGGGTCGAATACTGCGGGAAGTGAAAACCGAGTGTGGGGATAGCAACTTGTCCTCTGATGACGATGGTGTGTTGACTGAAATATGTCTAAATTCTAGCAGTTGCCTGATAAAATTGGTATATTTTTATACTCTTTATAGAGACTGTTAAGTTGGCAGTTACTGGCTGATCACCTCTTTTTTTAAAAACGACATAGGACTGGGAAACTTGGTAATACCTTATGGTTACAATTACAAAAACATATAAGAATGAATTAGCATCCAAAACCTGACCTTAAGCATAAAGCATAACCCAGAAAAGCCCTGTATGAAAAGAACTGATGAAAACCAAGAGCTAATTCAGAGAAATCAACAAAACTGCTGAGAGCAATGGGCCTCATTCACCAATATCAATATCTAAAAAGTTTTTCTTAAATTTGTTCTTAAGAGAGGTTCTAAGAAAAATCTAAGTCAGATTCATGATGTTCTTAAACCGAAGAGTTATTTGTACTTTTGTGCTGTTGAGTGTGCATAGATTCTGTTCTTATCTAAGAACAAATCCCAAATAAGAAAACATATCAGAATATCAGAATCTTCCTGAAAACTGTGTAAATGTTTACGAAGAAATTTCTTCTTAAGAACGTTTGGTGAATAAGGCCCGAAGTACTGTGCAATATCTATATATTTAAACAGTGTTTAAACTTTTGGGAGTTTCTGCTGTTTGGGTTTATTACATTTTATGAGAGAACAAGGAGAACTGACAGTTATATTTGATAATTCACTTTTAGCAACTGTGAATCACACTGGTTAGTAAAGTACAGTTTTGAACATCTAAAAGAAGGCCATCATGCTCAAACTACTCAGACACTCTAGTGCTCCACATGAAGAAATGCTCAGCTAACAAGATCACCTCATGCAGTGTGAGCAGATGTCAGTCAGTCCACGATATATACAAAGTGTTTAAAGAATGACAAGCCAAAATCTTAAATAGAGGGTATTTGTGCTTGCAGACACAACGTCTTGGTTGCCAGTGCCTCCGTCCCCCTCTTCCCCAACGCCAACAATCTCTCTTAGGGTTCTGCCGAGCCTCTCTACCCACGACATGAAAACCAGAGGTCAGTATAATAGCTGTCATTGACTACAACCTCCATTCATTTTGTTCTGAGAGAATGAGAACAATGTTTCTTGACACAGATAAGACAGAACTGGGAGAGAAAGACTTGAAAGCCATGCTGAGAAGACACAGAGAGAAGAGGAAACAACATCCAGTTAGTTTATGCAAATGACCTCATCCTCATTATTTTGATGCCATCACTAAAATATTTCACCTGAAATGTACAGATTTGCTAGTTTGTGGTGAAATGTATTTGTGTAGATGTAAATGGAGTTAAGAGGGACAATAAAGGTGAGAGGTGAAATACACTGGTTGAGAAATTAATTTTACATCTCAAGATCAGATTAGATGTGTGATTAGATGTGTGTGGCCACTTCATAGTTTACTGTCACTTTTAGAAAATTTCTCTGGTTTAGAATACCTTTATTTTACTCACTATACTGTAATGGCAGTAGACAAAGTATACACAGCAATTTTCAGCCTGGTGTTTAGCAATGACAACCACAGTTATGATATCATCTCCGTTAGGATCATCCCGATTTGATGACGTCTGACCTCCAACTTGGTGATATTATGTCGCGTGTAAATATAGGCAGAAAAGGATCAGTTATGGGTGAGAATAATGACCTCAGTTGTTTATTATCCCTTAATATTTCCCTGCTTTTTTTGTTTGTTTGGTAAATATCATTCATGCAAATTTCTGCAGTTGTAACTGAGTGCATGTTATTTTTTTTTGGCACTTAGCTTTATCTGACCTGGCTTTGCCTAAAAAGAAGATGAGAGAAGAGAAGAGGAAGCGGAAAATGAGGCCTATTAAATCAGAGTCCGAGGATGGCTGTGATGGTCAGACCCCTGCAGCCTCCATGGCTACCACCCTGTCTGACAGTGCAGCTGCTAGCCTACAGAGTGTTAAGGAAGAGTGAGTCTGCCAACTAATACACTCACTTAGTTCTGAGCTTTGAGCTCTCTCTGATGGGTTTGGGTTAATTTTTTTCTTCTGTTCACTACAGACCCATGGAAGAGATCCAGAACAGCCCTGACATAGTGGAGGAAATCGCCATTAGCTTCTTTAATCTGCTGGAAAACATCTTTAGACAGGAGTGCCTGGCATCATCTTCCCTGGTATATTTGCCTCTGTAACAAGAAACCATACTGTTTGTCTTCAGTCTGTGATGCACTGAAATCAATACTAACAGTAACTAAGTTTGCATGTGCACAATAGCCTAAGTTTGTAGTTAGTCTAAGGCTGACTTTCCACAGTGAAAGTTTCATGTAGCTAGTTGCAACACACTTGATTATTCCACAGTTTAGCCAAATTAACAGTATTTGTTGGTACACCGCACCATTCTCGCTGTACAAAGTCAACCATTTGGTTTTATTTACGTATTTGCAGCATTTTTATAACCTTCATATATCGTTATTTTCTCCATCTGTCACTGCCCTTCTTCTCTATATTAAGTTCTATATTCTTTTTTTCTTTTCTTTCTTTACAGTATTTTATAGTTGTGGTCTGTTCTGACTCTTCTGTAATTTTTTATCATTTTAGAGAAAACGAATAATTACGTAGATCACTACAACAGTAGGCTAAAGGAGAATAAATGGTGGCACAAGCAGCCTTTGAAACAGCTGTTACTGTTAAAAGAGCTAGTTACAGAAATATTGGCTAAACTCACGTTTGTTGTCATGGCCCAGGAAAGTGATAAAATACAAAACTACCAGCCTTGTGTTAAGTCACTCAGGATCTAATTTTCAGCTGTGCAATAAATCATCTTCTGTTTCATTTTCTTGTCCATTGATCTGTTAAAATTAATAATTGAAATGATGATATTCCACATTTTCATATGATGCATTATTGCCGTTTTGGTCAAGTTCCAAGAACTTGAGACGCTTGTAACTGTTGCAAGTAAGTTTCAAATGAGTTGCAGGACGCTTTACATTATGCAAATCAAGTGCAGTGTAGTTTCATATAGGTTTCAAGCAAATGAGGTTGCATGGCAGTTACAAAATATAAAGCCAGCCTTAGAAACTGGACTCTTAAGAGTGTCAGTGATCTTAGCATTTGCGTTTCTAAATGATAAAACCATGACAATTGAACCATGCTGTCATGATCGCATCTTGAGTACATTAATCATCGAACCGTTGGGTTGCATGTAAACATAGTTATGTCTGTCTGAGGGAATGTGTGTTGTGTTGGGCCTGTGAGATCCATGAAGTAAAATAACTGTGATCTTTTCTTGGCTTCCTAGATAGAGGAGAAGGTGCAGCAGTGGCAGGCCTCTCCTGCCAGTGCCCTCAATCCCTGGTTTTCTATGGCCCCCTGTTGGTCAGAGCTGGTAGTGCCTGCTTTGCAGTTCTTAGCTGGAGAAAATAAATGTTAGTACTACTGTTTCTTTCTCCAAGCTGATTGTATTTCTAAGCCAGCCATTAACTGAATCTCTGCTGAAGAATGTGTTATTTATCATAGGTGAACATGTTGTTTATTCTCTCTGTGGTTTATGTAGCTGGCTCCATGGCTCAGCCGAGTGGCTTCACTCCGTATGTTGAATTCAGAGAACATACCCAGCAGTGGAAATGGATTGGTAAAATGAACTGACTGTTTAATCATCATGTCTGTGTTGTGCAACAGTATTAAAATAAACAGCAGCAAAAACTTTGTCATATACATTAGGCCTACAGCCTGCTTTTCTGTTTTCTGTGAAAGCACTGAAGTGATTAAATGGCTTCTTTCCCCCCCTGTTTATCCACTGTCTTTCAGGTCCCTGTCAGGATGCAGAGAAGGATCTTAGTGCACTTTGCCTTCTTTGGCTGGAGTCGAAGGACCATGTGGTAGTCAAAGTACCTTAGTGTAATCATTGACCTCCACCTTATCATCACAACACTGGTTCCCCTACTCTATATAACCTTGGTTTTTCCCTCTTTTAACAGCAGGAAGGAGAAGAAGCAGCTGAGTTGACTCCTCCAGCTCCTAGAGTGTGAGTTTCACCCTGAGCCAACAGTGACAACCCTATTTATTTGTCTTAGATCTTGCACATCAAGATAACCACATATTCTGTTAAACAGGATCTCTTTCATTTCCTTGCTATCTGCACGTTTCAATGCTCTTTTCATATGGCAGGTGGACTGATTATGTGGTGAGGCCCAGCACAGAAGAGGAGCGGCATGTCTTTCAAGAGCAGGTAAGTGCATTGGACTCAACTGGGTGATCAATCCCCTGTGCTTTCAAGGTGGGATTCTGCAAACACTAGTATTATCTGGAGTACATGTGGAACATGACTTAGTTGTAGCATTAACCTCAGTGTTTCTGACTCTTAGGAGCAGCAGCGCTATGACCAGCCTCACAAAGCCTTCACCTTCCGCATGCATGGCTTTGAGTCTGTGGTGGGGCCTGTCAAAGGAGTGTTTGATAAGGAGACGTCCCTCAACAAAGCCCGCGAGCACTCTCTACTGCGCTCTGACCGACCAGCTTATGTCACCATCCTCTCCCTGGGTAACATTTAAAAGCTCTTAGTTGCACAAAAATCCTAGATACACAAACTAACATATCGCTGTCTATGGATGCCCTGACTTTCAACCCCTGAAACATTTTGGCTGAAAATGGCCAAATGTGGCACTTTCGCTTTTTGGCTGAAAGAGGAAAAAAGGCTGACCATTTTGGCCAACAAAAGATTGAAAAAGACTGTAACAAAGTGTCAAAATCTAACACTTACATCATTTGCATGGTAACGAAAATCATGCTCTGCTCTGGACATTCAAACAGTTTGAGCAGCAACAGATCAGTGTGGAACTGTTTTGCAATTTCTGTGAGGGACATTTCACAAGTGATATGTAATCATTGTTAATCCAGAGTATCAAGAGAGGGCACAGCGTGTAAGACCTTCTCCATTACAGATTTGATACCCCTTGAAAACATGACATCCTGCTTGATACACAGTATACAGCAAAATAACAGGAGAAAGTAAAGTCCCTGCTAGCACAACGGTGCCATCTATAGCCACAGGTTTTGAAATGGCAAAAATGTTTACAAACAAAAGAGCAAAGTAAAAAAAATAGTTGCATTTATTGCCTAATCAATGTATCTGTGTTGTTAAGGATGTTGTTCTTTATTTTACATACTTTAATAATTGTAGTAGTTTTTAACGGGACCTGTTTTTATTTATTGTCAGCCTCATGTCCTATTGGATTTTCTCAATAATAAAAGTTTAGTTTCTGGCCTTGAAGTTTTATGTATAGTACATTTATATAAATCATAAATAAGAAGGGAAATTAAAATAATTTTGATTTGCTTTTTAGTCAGATGTGTCTTGATTTATGGTTTCAACCAGGAATTTTAATTCCAGTGCTTCACTGTGATATCAACATATTTTTCCTATACTAACTTTTTTTAACACCTCATCAGTCTTCCTTTACATCATGTAATTTCATGACAAGTGATTAAACAGAAAAGGTCCAGAACAATTTGACATAAAATTGCTTTGTTAACATACTTTAAAAGATTAAAAAAAAAATGTATCCTTTCTTCTTTAAAATGAGTATTTTGGAGTTGTAAGGTATTGTTACAGCAGTGGCTAATATGTTGCTGGGTGTGCTGCATTATTGTGTTGTTGTGGTGTTATTGTGCATTTAGACAGTTCTTGTAAATGGATAGTTTTGTCACGTCACCACATTACAACTACCAATTGTTTGTTCTCGAGTTAGTAACTGGCTCCTGGTAAACAAAATATAAATCTACTGAGGTGGACTAGTGCCAACTCAGTCTATTGTGTTTATGTGGTGTCAGAGCATAATGGCTTGAGTTTTCTTCCTTCAGCTTTACAGCAACCATTCAGCTTACTTGTGGTAAAATTTTTGAGTTTACCACAAGGAAGTCTTCTGTCAAAATGCATTTGTTAGAATGTGCATATTGTGTCTGATTGCTGATCCAGGATCGGTTTCACCTGTATAGTCTTTGCCATGACATTTAATATTTGAAGTGCAAGTACTATTCATAAGTCAGCATGTTTACTTCTGGTGTTGAATGTGGCCCTTTTGTGTTTCTAGTGCGGGATGCAGCTGCCAGGCTGCCTAATGGAGAGGGAACCCGAGCTGAAATCTGCGAGCTGCTGAAGGATTCCCAGTTCCTGGCCCCTGACGTCACCAGTGCACAGGTCCCTAACCCAATACACACTGATTCTCTCTGCGCCTCTCTTTCTCCTACCTCTTTTGGTTTGTTCTTGCAGTTAAAACCGCACGTCTGTGTGCTTCACACAGGTGAACACAGTTGTGAGCGGGGCTCTGGACCGCCTCCACTATGAGAAAGACCCGTGTGTGAAGTATGACATTGGCCGCAAGCTGTGGATTTACCTACACAGGGACCGGAGTCAAGAGGAGTTTGGTAATTCCTCCAGCAGCAGAGCATATATGGGATTCATAGGCATCCAGACTGCACACATGGTTCATAGCCTGTGGCTCTATGGCAGTCAACATGAATCGTGACAGGCTGCCTGTATTGTCATGGCCTCCATCTGAGCTTCCGATGCAGATGTGCAGAACAGGTTTAGCAGGGAAGAGCCAAGTGTCAGGTTACCTCATTTTGCAGAGTGACAGTCTGACTAATTTAACAGATGGGGGGGCGGGGTCACGAGAGTGGTGATGCAAGGCATGTACCTTATCAAACACAGAGAAAATAATTGTGAGACATCATAATAAGTGTATATAAGCTCTGTTGAATGGCTCCACGTACCGGCCTTGAAAGACAGGCTAATGTTGATTATGAATTTCCGTTGGGTGAGCTCATTAGTGAGGGAGGGTCTTGACTGACTGAATTTGATGCATTTTGTAGCACCAGGCTAAAGATTTGTGGTTTTTGGCACAGTGCTGGCTAAAGAATGCAGGCCCAGTAAGTGAGTAGATTTAGTATTTCATTATTCTGTCTTTTATTGTGTATACTGGTGTGTATGGGGAAGGAGGGCTGGGGTGGAATGGGTTGGCAAAGAGGGGGTCGTGAAATATTTTTAACCATAAAAAAGGGTTGCACTGAAGTCAAGCTAGCTAATGTTAAATCAGTGAATAAATTTAACTTTTCAAAATGATAATTCTAAAATAATAATCAACACATCCAAGTATGTCCTCTAATAATAATATATCCTCTATCATAGACACTTGTGTGGCACGTGCCATGCAGCTATTGGTCCAGTAAATCCAGTGCCTAGTGTTCCTTTTAGTGTTTCCTTTGACTTTTTCCCCCTTATGAATCTTATATCTAATTTCCTCAGGAATATTCCCTGAAAAATTAATAACTTGTGCTTAGTGGTAGTTAATGGAAATTAAATAAATGAAGGATGGTCATTGACCTTTGCACAATTCTATGTGTATGTATATGAAATCATAATTGTTTGCTCCTGACATGTATTTTATAGTTAGATGACTGAGTATTAAGTTCTTTTTTTCCATGCAGAGAGGATTCACCAGGCTCAGGCAGCTGCTGCCAAGGCACGGAAAGCCCTGCAGCAGAAGCCTAAACCTACCCCCAAACCTGTGAGTACTCTGGCATGACAACCCTTTACACACATTTCAACCTTTTTCTATAGTATTGCTACACTATGTTTGTAGACTTGAGAGCACTTGAGAACTGGTATTACCAGTTTTTTCCCTGAATTCATTCCTTTGTTTCCTTTGCACATTCATTTGAAATGGAAAGCATCTGTGGGTTGAAGATTTGCTTATCTGTGTATGTGTCTTGTAGAAGTCTGACAACAAGGAAACAAGTGGTAAGAGTGGTGCTACAGAGGGCCAGTGTTCTGTACCTGAGGGCCCTTCTACACCTGTTGTCAGCTTACCCCAGCCTCCTAGTACCCCAACACCAAGCACCCCGGGAACACCAAAATCCCCACTACCACCCACTGTGGCAACACCTACAAAAGCAGGTGTACCAGATCCTGTCAAGACCAGCCCCAGGTAGGACACTGAATTAAGATATTCTGTGTTCAGTCTTATGATCTGCAGAGTTTAGTTCTGACTCAGCTCCTCAACTATTGCCCAAGGCCTGCATAAGTTGAATTCAGAGAGTTAGAAGAGGAAAGACACCAATCCTGCAGGTCTGTAGTTGGGATGTAACAATCCAGTGATCTGTATCAACGCATTGATCAAATAGCAAATAATCTGGAGTCACCGATCTGACACATAAACGTCAATGCGTTCATGTTTATTTTCACAGCTATTCCAACATTATCAGCACTGGAAGCTCCTCGACTGTGTGGAATTGATCATGATATTGTGACATTGGCGGGTTTTCCAAAGAACTCAGACAAGTTGTAGATCTGGTCCATAACTCTGCTTTACTGAATAACTCGTATAACTAATGAATAAACAGCATACAAAAACAAAAAAGGGGAACTGGGGCTCAAGCTCAGCCTAGCGCTCTGTTCTCACTGCTGGCTGGCTAGGCTTCTGTGTTTACTGCTAGACTCGCACTCTTTACCTCAGCATGCAGCCCTGCCCATCAAAATAGGTGTCCTCACAACAAAAGACTCAATAACTGCTACTGAGCAGAATAACTAAACTGAACTAACTCCGATCACTGCAGACTCCATTATCAGACCGAATTGAATTGCTGCAAATTTTGAGTTATTGAAAATCATCAGATCGTTGACTAAAAGAATTGATGTAGAATTGCATTGTGATGAAACTTGTGGTTTACACCCCTAGTCTGTAGATCCTGGACCAGAGTTTGACATTCCTGTCTTATAATATCTAATTGAATATTCTCAGTGTGAGTGGAATGATAATTTGCTTGTGCTTTCTCCTTTCTTCTGCAGTGTTCTGCTGGTGTCTCCTCCCTCCATGCCTCAGCTGGGCACTCTGCTCTCTGCCAGTCAGGTTGCCCCTCAGGCTTCTCAGCAGGCCTCAGTGCCGCCTGCAACTCGAGTAGTGGCTCACTCTGCTACAGCAGGCTCTTTGCCTCAGGTCCGTGTGGTCACTGCTCAGCCTGGCCTTCCTGCTGCCTCTGCAGGCCAGGCAGCCACACTGGTGCACCAGACGCCCCACCATATCAGAGTGCCCGTCACTGTGGCCCACACCAAGGGCATTGCACAGGTCAGCTCAGTACCTAATTACTGTGGTCTCTGTAAAGCAGCTGAAGAAAACTATCACCCTGAAGAGCTTTAGTCCAGCACAGCTTGGCTTTTTTCTGCTTAAACACACCTGATTGAGCTCATTTTAACTGCCAGGGTTAGCTGACTTGTTAGGACAGAGAAATCAGAAAATTGTGTTGGGTGCTGGCCCTTTACATTGTTGTACAGGGGTTCATCATTGTAAAATCTGATGATTGCTATAACAAATTGTGTTTTGCTCATAACATGGGTGCACACCAGCTTTAATGTTTTAGATTGAAGACATTTTGTAATTTCAGCTTTGTTCCTAACAGTAATTCTATGGCGTTGTAAGTGAGGAAGAACTTTTATTGAACATAGACCTAACTAGAAAGTACATATGGTCATGAGAGGTTTAACAGTTTCTTTCAGTTGAAGTACCTGCCCTTCTTGTAAATGATTTTCATGTGTGGTGATGTATGTCATTGTGTAAAGGCTGTGGTGACCCTGCCTTTGAGGAGCCAGTCTGCAGGAAGTCCTGTCCAGGTGCAAGCTTCGCGAGCTCAGACAAGCCTATCTGTCCCAGGCCTGGCCTCAGCTGTGGCGGTTACTAAAGCTCAGACCAGCTCTCCCGGAAGCCCTGCTCAAAACACTGCTTCGCCTGCAGTGCTACAGGGGGTCACTAGCCAGAACATCATTAAACAGGTACAAATAATGAACCACCTTCCGTAGTGTAAGCTATTTGTCAGACTTTTTAAAAAATTGTTCTTGAGTGGGCATAAGCCCCTTTATTTTTAAAATTTCCATACTGGATGCCTTTTTTGGATTACCTAACTGAGGACATGGCATGAACATGATACAAAACTATGCAGTACATCACATGTACTTGCTAAATGAATTGTAGCCTCTTAAAGTCCATGGAACCTGTTGGTGGTTACAGACTTGTTTCTTATATTGTTTACTTCATTCCTTCCATATTTCATAAGATACTTCCCTCTTGTATGTATTATATGAAACATCCAACTCTCTTTTTTCCATTCAAGTAGATCATTTAGGTTTAGGGTTAGAAAAAAAATTTGAAAAATACCCTAGAGCAGAAGAGGCTAAACAAATCTCCTTTCATCCTTGTGTGAAACGTCCAGGTTGCCATTACTGGCCAGCTGGGTGTGAAGGCCCAAAATGCAACAGGTATTCCCTTGACTGCCACCAACCTGCGTATTCAGGGCAAAGATGTTCTGCGCTTGCCTCCCTCCTCCATCACCACCGATGCTAAAGGCCAGACAGTTCTTCGCATCACTCCAGAAATGATGGCCACGCTCAAACTCACCCCAGACATGCTAGGCAGTGCTACCAGCACTACAGCCAAGGGCATCTCGGCCACTCTGCATGTAACCCCACCGCAGGCCTCTCCCCCTGCCACCTCAAATCCCACCCCACCAGCTGCTGCTGAGGGCCTGGCAGTCAAAGGCTCTTCCTCTCTGGGGCCTCCGGGGGCTGCCACTCTGGTGAAGGTGCACCCCGAGCTGAAGGCCACATGTGACACAGCTATCCGCCTCATGCCCGCACTGGCCGTGACTGTAGCCGACCCCAAAACCCGCACCTTTTCCACAGTCACCTCTTCAGACTCTAAAGCCGGAGGCACTACCATTCGCATTGTGCCCAACCTGGGAGTGATCCCGCAGAAACAGGGCCAGACTGTTCCGGTTAACACCACTACCACGAGCACCAAGCCTGTCACGGCTTCCTCGGGGGCGGCCACAGTCACCATAGCCACAAGCGGGGTGGCGGGAGCTAAAGGTGTGACACTGGGCCCTGCTGCTGCAGGTTCTCCTCTTTCTCTGGGCACAGCAGCAGCCACAGTCAGGCAGGTGCCTGTCAGCGCTACCTTAGCGGCCACACAACAGGTAAACATATTTATTCATTTATGTCAGTGGTGTGCATGTGGCCGTTTTGATGCCTGTCCAAAAATTTTGCTGATGATGATTGAACATTCCTCTTCACATGTGGTGTTCTTGAGAGCCATGAGGCAGAAGATTTAGCATTAGCTAGAAAGAAGTAGCCTTATTAATTATAATAATCTAGATAATGATGCTAAGTAAAAACAGCATGCCATTAGACCAACCACGATGGTGAACCTTAATTTGCACCACTTCTTTTTGATATCAGTTAAAAAATGTTACTGATGTAGGCTATAGTCATTTAGCAATGCAGGCTCATAACAACACTATGTTAAAAGATTGTTTGGCAAATCACTACAAACATTTAAAATATACTGTTGGATAAAATGAATAGGTTATAGGCCATTAAAAACATTAGCAATTAATGATTAAAGCTCTTTGCCTAGCAAACAAACACAAGAATGAGGCTGAGCCAATTGTAAAAGCTTCATGCAGACCACCAATTTAGATGATTGAAGCAAGTAAAAGCATACCTACTGTCTCTGTTGTGTCTTCTCAGGGGAAGCTGCCTGCTAGGATCACAGTGCCTCTTTCTGTCCTTAGCCAGCCTCTGAAGAGCAAGAGTGTGGTCACTACACCCATACTGAAAGGCAGCATCAGTACTAAGTGAGCATCTTTTTAGAATTTCTGTTAGTCTCCTACATAAAATTCATAAACTGAATTCAGAGCGTTAGATGAGGGTAAACGCTAATCTCTGCAGCACTTTGGCCTGGAAGGTCCCCAGTTTGACATGCCTGGTCTAAAACCACGGTCACACCAAATGTGAGTAAAAAATTTGCTTGGCGAAAAAGGCAATTCACTTCAAAGGGAAAGGACATGCGAACGCAAAGAAGGATTTAGCTTCCGGTAGTTGTTCATTTTGCTTCACACTAAGATATTCTTTAACCCCACGAACTTGGTTCAAACCATGGAAGTGTGTGCCAATAGAAAACAAAAGGACAAGTTATGTCAGTTAAGTCAGGAGGAAAAAACACTAAAATATTGTGTGCATGTTCTGCTGTTCTGCTAATTTAAAAATCAGAGGTGTTTGGATTTCATGGGAGTTATTCTACCCATATGATATGTCTGTATGCATTAACGTTACACACACAGGCTCTAAAAGAAGATCTGGCTTGAAGTATGTGTCAAATGCAAAATCAATCAAAAGTTTTGACTGAGATTTCTTTGAATACTCTTTCAAGCAACTTGTGATCAACAGGTTTACCTGCTTAGTAAAGGGGTCCAAACCGTAACAGACATTACAAAACGTTCTTCCAGACATAGCGTGCAATTATACCTTTACACCAGAGAGGACTCCAGAACCCCAAAACGTGCAAAGTGTAACTAGTTAATGTAAGCTGTTCACTGAACTATATGTTCCTTCCAGAACACATCAGGTCCACCCATAATCGCCCGATTTTTGCTCCACTCCAGCATAGAGAATAGTGAGTCTGATGTAAACTCTGGCTTACAGGCAACAGACCTTTGACCCATAGAATTTGTTTTGGCCTTCCTGCTGCAGACTACTGCAATTATAATGTGTGTAGCTTGTCTACCTGATGTGACCCAAGTCTCTGTTCTGTACGCAGTATCAGTAATCTCGGCAGGAACATTATCCTGACAACAATGCCAGCAGGCACCAGGCTCATCGCGGGGAACAAGCCTGTCAGCTTCGTCACAGCTCAGCAGCTGCAGCAACTGCAACAGCAGGGCCAAGCCACGCAGGTCAGCACCTCAGCAGTTAATCCACTATTTTTACATCCACTAACGTTATCTGGAACATTTTTGTCATTACCAGTGTGCAGAAATGTAAATCTCTGACCTTACAACAGTGCATCATATTTTTATGGTATGATTCAAAAGTACTATTAAAAATATGCTACCTCCAGTCACAAATGTTTGTGCAGTATGTATGCAGTAATGGAACTCAGACAAAAAAAATACAGTAATCTATTTTTCTTTTTTTACTTTTACCTTTGAAAATAGCCATGGAATCCTATTTTGGACATAGTCAATTAGCTTACATACATATTTACCTATGTATTTAATATTAGAACTGATTACATTCAATTCCAAACAGCATTCCAAAATGAATACTCACCACCTTCAGACCAATGCATCAAAATATTTTGATGCATTTTTTTACACCCCCAAAGTAAAGCACATATTAAGTTTTTTTTCCCCTTCACTGTTAGAAATCTTTTTCCTTGCACAGAGACAAGAGCCAGGAGACCAGGATGCAGAAATTGTTCATTATTGTTTAACTGTAAAGGTAGCCAAAACCAGTCCAGCAGCCAGTCTGGTCTGATTCAGTCTAGCTGGCCTGTTGCAGCCTGACAACAGCTATAATGTTTTGGCACTCAGGAGCATAGAAAGTGTTGAAAAATACATGTGGTGTTCTACTGAGGGACATAGTAATTGTCATAAACATTTAGGAATGCACAGACATAAATGTGACTTCAGCATTCACATTGCAAATTGAAAATGCAATAAAACAAGATAATAAAGTCCACACCCCCATACAGGTACGCATCCAGACCGTCCCAGCCCAACAGCTGCAGCAGCGCTCAGCAGCCAGCTCTCCTAAATCAACAGTGTCCACTGTGGTGGTGTCCACCACGCCCTCTACCAAAACGGCACCTGACCCACAGTGACGCTGAAGGCCCGTGTGAAGTCAGCCACTGGGGCATGAGCTGCAGATCAGGGAAAAACGCTATGGCTGAATCACAGTGACAGCACCTTATCGTGCTGTAGGAAGCCAGTGCTTGCCAGAACTCTGTGAAAGTATCCACGTGTGAAATGTTTGGTGTTCAGTGTTGGTTCCCAACTGACAAGGCTGTTTAGGGCAACTTTATCAAATCTTCCAAGGCCCTGCTACACAGTAGAACTTAGACTGAGACCTTGTAAGGACTCAATGTTGTGTAAAAATGTTGGAAAACCACCAAAAATGTACTTAAATGGGAATTTCACTGATTTTCAAAATTTCTACATAATTATGTAAAGATGTAAACAAAGATGTTCAGGGTGATTTGATGTGAAATTCTCTATTGTAGAAAGAGTTAGAATTGGTCATAGTGGTTGGAGTTTAATGCTTCTAAAAGCTCCCTCACAGAAAATTCTTACATCTAAGGGCTATAAATGTGCTGTATGTATGTATGTATTGTTTTACAGTAATTTTGAGGAGGTTTTGGCCTACAACCTAGTTTTTTACATTCATGCATAGCAGAGAGATAGCGGGTATTATAAGGAAAAATAGTATCCCAATAAAACTTATTTATAGATCTACTTTTTTTTTTTTTACCATTATCCATATTACATATGAAAACTTAAGACATGTAGGTTCACTGGTCATTTTGGGTAGTAAGTAAAATGCATTTGTGTTTCTCCAACACTGCAAATTCAGGTTTGTAGGTTTCTCTACAACAAACCATTTCATATTCAACCACACTGTATGACTGTTTACATCTCAAAGACTGAATTATGCAGAAACTTTGAAGAAAATATAATGTTGGACCATGACTTTCTTTGCTTTTGTTGGTACATATGTGACTTTCTATAGTAAAGATACCAGAGTGATATCAGTGGTCTCCATCTTGTCTGTTGTGCTGTATGCAGAGAAGGTTAAAGCAGTTTATATGTTTGTGTTCTTTACATGTTTTTCTCAGAAAGAAAAAGCCTACGTTCTGTGTAGTATTTGACTGTATCATTATTTCTCACCTTAAATAAATAACTGCTGCGATACCCTTTGGACTATGTTCATAAAACATACAACAGATATAAAACAGGGAAAAAAAATAGAAAGTGGAAATGTGGAAAGTGTATACACTAACAGTTTTCATAGTGCTTGCATATTAAGCAGTGAGAAATCTACCTCAACCAGACATTTTTAAAAGTTTGACTTTATACTGAGCTTATACTCCAATATGAAATTCCCTATGCTACTTGTGTGACCTTAATGATGTCCCATTGCACAGATGCAGATTATTAAGGCTGTGTATTTTATATAGTTTCCATCTACATTGTACAAACCGGATTCCAAAAAAGTTGGGACACTAAACAAATTGTGAATAAAAACTGAATGCAATGATGTGGAGGTGCAAACATCTAATATTTTATTCAGAATAGAACACAAATCACAGATCAAAAGTTTAAACTGAGAGAATGTATCATTTTAAGGGAAAAATATGTTTCAAAATTTCATGGCGTCAACAAATCCCAAAAAAGTTGGGACAAGGCCATTTTTACCACTGTGTGGCATCCCCCCTTCTTCTTACAACACTCAACAGACGTCTGGGGACAGAGGAGACCAGTTTCTCAAGTTTAGAAATAGGAATGCTCTCCCATTCATGTCTAATACAGGCCTCTAACTGTTCAATCGTCTTGGGCCTTCTTTGTCGCACCTTCCTCTTTATGATGCGCCAAATGTTCTCTATAGGTGAAAGATCTGGACTGCAGGCTGGCCATTTCAGTACCCGGATCCTTCTCCTACGTAGCCATGATGTTGTGATTGCTGCAGAATGTGGTCTGACATTATCTTGTTGAAAAATGCAGGGTCTTCCCTGAAAGAGATGACGTCTAGATGGGAGCATATGTTGTTCTAGAACCTGAACATAGTTCTCTGCATTAATGGTGCCTTTCCAGACATGCAAGCTGCCCATGCCACAAGCACTCATGCAACCCCATACCATCAGTGATGCAGGCTTCTGAACAGAGCGTTGATAACAACTTGGGTTATCCTTGTCCTCTCTGGTCCGGATGACATGGCGTCCCAGTGTTCCATAAAGAACTTCAAATCGTGACTCATCTGACCACAGAACAGTCTTCCATTTTGCCACACTCCATTTTAAAAGACCCCTGGCCCAGTGCAAACGTCTGAGCTTGTGGATCTTGCTTAGAAATGGCTTCCTCTTTGCACTGTAGAGTTTCAGCTGGCAACGGCGGATGGCACGGTGGATTGTGTTCACTGACAATGCTTTCTGGAAGTATTCCTGAGCCCATTCTGTTATTTCCTTGACAGTGGCATTCCTGTTTGAGGTGCAGTGACGTTTAAGGGCCCGGAGATCACGAGCATCCAGTAGAGTTTTACGGCCTTGACCCTTACACACAGCGATTGTTCCAGATTCTTTGAATCTTTTGATGATGTTATGCACGGTTGATGATGATAACTTAAGTCTTTGCTATTTTACGCCGGGTAACACCATTCTGGAATTGCTGCACTATCTTTCTGCGCAACAATGGTGGAATTGGTGATCCTCTTACCATCTTGGCTTCAGAGAGACACTGACACTCTGAGAAGCTCTTTTTATACCCAATCATGTTGTCAATTGACCTAATTAGTGTTAATTGGTCTTCCAGCTGTTCGTTATATGCTCAATTTCCTTTTTCCAGCCACTTATTGCTACTTGTCCCAACTTTTTTGGGATTTGTTGACGCCATGAAGTTTTGAAACAACATATTTTTCCCTTAAAATGATACATTCTCTCAGTTTAAACTTTTGATCTGTGATTTGTGTTCTATTCTGAATAAAATATTAGATGTTTGCACCTCCACATCATTGCATTCAGTTTTTATTCACAATTTGTTTAGTGTCCCAACTTTTTTGGAATCCGGTTTGTATGTTAAGCTGACCAGCAAACAAAAGTTAAGTACACTTGGTACATCCCACACATGCATCACATTTTGAAAGAAGAAGCAGGTCTGTCTGGTTTGCAGCAGGAATTGCTTCTTATTGAGAGGCTTGACAAGACATACCTGAAATAAGCCTGATACTCCAGTTACTCAGAAACCAAGCACTTTTCCACCCCTCGGAAAAAGTGCACTTAGAAACTTACTGTTTAAAAAAATTTTCTTACTATATTTACTATATTATATTTACTTGCACAACTGTACAAAAATAACAGGCTTTACAGGCATCAGTGCATTAAAGAGCCTTATCAGAGTCCTCCCCAAAACATGCTTATCTGGCATATTAAACAAACATACAAACTTCAAGGAACACCCCGCCTGATTAGTTCATTGTGCATAGACTGATCAGTATTCAATATTCTATACCTATAAACTAATTAGGATATACATATGGCTTGTGTGTTTGTGTCTTTATATATACAATATGAAATATACACACACACACCCCCATAGAACTGTGCAAAGGTTTCAGGCACCTGGGAAAAATCAGAATTAAAAAGCAATATAACTGGCCAGTATTTGCTTCTAATATGAAATTTCTTGTTTACTTGACCATTTCCAAGCCTGTCCACTTGGCAGCCCAGTATAATTTGTGGTCATCCAATTATACCAGTTTTGGCTAATCAGTGCTTCCTTGAGTTAAATCAGGTGTGCTAGTGATCGAATGTAATACATTTATTTGATGGTTGTGGTTGTCAAACCAAACTTTGTTTTACTAATCAGCTCACAAGATATGAACTACTTTTTTGTGACCTGAATTCTTGTGACTATATGCTTCTTTGCATTTATTCTAATCAAATATGGTGTTTTTACAGGCGAAAACACACTTGCTGACAAGATAAATAGTTTTCAATAATGTGCTCGGGTGCCTAAGACCTTTGCACAGTACTGTATATAAAATTTGCATTGTGTCAGTTTATTTTATGCTGTATATATTTATATCTCTTCAGATTTCTTCACATCTGGTCACAGGACTCTGTCTATTCTTCATCTGATTCCTGCAGCAAAGCCTTCTGTGAACTGGAGGAGTCAGGGTGGCTGGTTTTTCTGAGGCTGATCTCTATATCCGCCCTGTGCCTCTCTCCAAACCTTCTTATGATCCTAAAGAGTGGAAAAATGATTGTGCCTTAAGTCTATATAGGCATTTTATAAAATGCTAAATAATATACAGTAAAGCTCAGTGGTGCAGATAGGCATCTTGAAATATTTGTTCTCTACAAAATGATTTTACACATGCTAGTGTCTACTCACCAATAGACCACACTGTAGTTGATCCCCACAATCAGCAAAGCAACTGCATAATGCCAACAGTAGCACATAGTAATGAACATGATGTTGCCATGGTTCTCCAGGTCCCACTCTTCACCATTCAGAGGATATAACACGAAACCAATCTGGGGTAGGAACAAATTCAGAGTGTTTATATTCATAGTGTGGGGCTTAAATAGCAACTTAAATGAAATGCATTCATATAAGAATTGCTTATTTCAAGGCCACGAGGCTAAATGAAGAACAACATAATTATAACATTGGGAATACCTGATAGAACCAGGTGCCTTGCATAATGGCCAAACTGCTCCTGAACAGCTCAAGCAGAGTGTTGTCTTGCAAGAACACCTCAAGCATTGTGCTGGCTGCCCCACCAAACACAGCCACCAGCAGCAAAGAGTGAATGTGCTGGTCCAGAGGAGGCCGATTATGTACATGGAAATAAAACAGGAACCCTAAAAAAGACCAGGTAAACACAGGTTAAGGGGAAACTATCATTTGACTAAAATTATCTGCCTTTTACATTTTATGAACATTTTATGACAACAGTCCAAAATTACATGCAATAAAATCTGATTGTTAAAATACATTAAATTTAACCCATTAATGTCCATATCAGAATATTTTACATATATTAAATTTCCTAAATTGCCATGCCAGTGGTAATTTACCACTGAAAATCATATTTACACCAAATTTAGGCCTAATCTGCAACTGCGAAACTGCCCCTCCATGTGTCATATTAAATGGTCTTTTTATCACATGGCACTACTTATTTTCAAAAATTTAAAAAAGGATTGAGAATTTTCACTCATTATGAAATATTCACATGACATAAAAAGCTCAAATGATGCAGGAAAAAAAAAATAGGGATACATTTTTTGGTTTGTTTTTTTTAAACAGATTTCTTTGGACAGATATATGAAGAAATGCTATTACTTACACTGCCTTACAATGACACTTTAACACATTAACTGGTTTGTACCTTCTACAAAGAGAGCCACAGACAGGGAGAGGCGGTCAAGCCCTGCTGGGACAGGAAGTGGGGATGAGCTGAGAATGTCAGCAATGCCAGAGATGCCATAGAAGAGGTACATGGTGCTGTGCTGCCAGTTCATCAGCTTCACCCACTCCCCGTTATAAAGGTGACCATGAGGTCCATCTGGCACAAACTGCTCTGCCATGATGCCTGCAACAGGAGGAAATTACATATCTGAAACTACATGTTTCTTACATTGGTCACTTGATCGCTTCATAACCAAAGGCAGTCTATCAAAAACCCAGAACCCAATGCATATGGGTCTGACATCTTCACTCACCAACAAAAGCAAAGAAGGTCTTCAGAACCCCCTCGATAAGGTCTATCCTTTTGAAGAACAGAGGCAGGTTTTTTCTGCTGCCTTGCTGTCTTTTCTGCCAGATGTGTCGCATGGGGTATTTCATAGACCACCACAAGCCAAACAGCAGGAAGAATGTACCAGGCAATGCGTGTCCTTTGAAGTTGGCCATGTTTTAGTCTCAGCCACCAACACTGACTTTAACACAACCCTGAATCAAAAGTGAAATTGGAAAAAAAGTGTTTGGGCATGAAAAGTGGAGCAAGAAGTAGAACAAAACTCCATAAACTAACCACACTGACCACACCACTATACCATCTACCCTTCAAGTGTTTGTAGAGAAAAAAAAAAAAAGATATAGGTCAACACAAAAAGACAACCACAGTCTGTGCTTTTAGTCACGTCCATATTGACAAACTACTGTTCATCAGTTTTAAGTATACAGTCCAAAGCTCTTATCTTGGTGAGTTAGAGTGTACAGATACAGTAGTTCTGATAAATCTGTCCAAGTTTCATGTCATAAAGAGATAAGGATATTGGTCATTGTTATCTTCCACTCCCCACATCTCTCAGGTGTAAATAAATCAAATATGAATATTGTGCATACTGTTTCATTATCACAATGTTGATGATTTCAAGTGATACTTCAATGTATAATTACAATTTTACATTTAATTACTATATATATATATATACATATATATATATATATATACATATATATGTTCTCACTGTCATCTCCATATACCTTGAAAAAATGTAAAATATATATATATATATATATATATATATATACATATGTATGTATGTATACACACACACACACACACACACACACACACACATATATATATATATATATATATATATATATATATATATATATATATATATATATATTATTATTATTATTATTTTTTATTTTTTTTTAGATGTTTTCAAGGTATATGGAGATGACAGTGAGAATTTGCAGCAGTGTTTTGCATTTTTGCTTTTGAATACCACAAACCCTAAACTAAAAAAATTGGCTCTCTTGTTGTGCTGTGCTCTCTCTGTTATGGGCTAAAGCTTCTGTGCCATTACTTTCACCCCGAAAACTGATTTGAATATGGAAATATCAGTAAACTTGCCGGCGGCCATTATTATTCCGCCAGTTTTGCTATGTTTAATGTGTAGCAGTGCTGCGAGTCCCACATCTCACCTCTGTAGACTGCTTTAGCTCTTCTGCTCGTCGCTCACTTTTTACTTTTAGGTCTTCGGAATCAGAGCATCTTCAGGTCAGGAGCTTTGGTGTGTGTGTGTTTTTTTTTTTCGGTCTTCTTTTTCCTACGTCTTCTTTCAGACACGTGGTGATTTGCTCCAACTCATTCCCTGGAAAATCTAACTAGAAAACAACATCGCCATGTTTCACTTCCCAAAGCAAGACGGCGCTTTCTCCACATCTAGATTCTCCTTTAGCTCATTGGATGCTGCCATTTATACTGTCGTAGCTAATCTATTGCTTAATATACACGTTTCCTAATTTGCCATAAATATATACTACAACCTACTGACCACAAAGACGTGTTTTAGTGTTAGTTTCACAAAAGATTACCAATTTCCCCATTTACAACCCACTGAACTACAAAATCTGTGATTGAATATAGTCTGTTGCTGGCTGCTCCATACCTGTGCTGTGCTCCGTGTTGACAGGCTAGAGGAACCGGTGGAGCTCGCTTCTCTTCATTACCTGTTTGTGATGGAAACAGCCAGCCAACCTGTGTCCCTGTGTGTGTTTGTGTGAATAAAGCACAGCCCGCCCTACCTGGGCAGGTGACTATAGCAGGTAAAGGGTTCAGACTAGATCACTGCTTCAGCTTCCTTAACTACAAGGCTGCTTTTCCAGCCCTTCACTAAGGCAATAAACTTCTCAATCAGGTCACCACCAGATCAAGGTGCATTCAGCAGAGCAGATCCGATTTGTTGTAGTTACCCATAGAATACTTAGGGCAGATTTAAAGGACATGTATTTTATTAATCAAATCTTTTAATCAGCCCAATGCATAATATGAAAAACTCTTACTTTTATTAATAATGATGATAATGCCACACCTAATTTCTGACAGAGGCTGGCTAGCGAAAGAGCTTAGTGCATTTTGGGTTAATGTGTAAACCATCCTCACGGAAGTTAACAGACACTGCATGCCATAATGAACAGAAACGGAGGGAACTTTGCTCCCTATCACAAAATGCAATTTTATTGGAGTCACATGGTGTAAGCAGGCCTTGCTGTGCTCCTAATGTGAAATGGACCTGGTGACTTTGCCCTGTTGCACTAATGAGCTCTCAGTGGCTCATTTCTGTCAAGCATCTCGAATCCAGGAACACATCTTTCTTGTCCATGCAAACACAGGAATTTACAAAGTAAACACTGAGCCTAGAATAGCACTCTTCTGCTGAAAAGAAAAGAAGCATGACAACTTATGAAGTTTGTAGTTTAAATATCGCTGCTGTTCTATCTCCAAAAAGGCAACTTAACAGGACAAGGAAAAATGTTCTTATTGGAACTTAGTGGAGAAATGATTTTTTCCCCCAAGTAATTTTGGACCATGTGAGTTGGTCAGTTCACCATGACCTTTAGACATAATATAAAGGCTTTTTCAAATTATGTCAAAAAATGAAAAACAACAACAAAAAAAGGAGGTACAAGGTCATGTCCCAACAGCGACTAGTAGATGTTTTTATCTGTGTAACTGTGGAACAGGATGTCTTCACAAAATGAGACCCACAGGCCTAAAGTTAACCCCTTAAATGGCCAGGACCAAAGTTTTATTACACACTTCTCTGTATAGCTCAGCCAGTTTGCATTGAAGTCCCTGCAGTACTGAGTAATAAGCCTTAGTATGTAATAAGCCTGGGATTCACATTTAAAAAAGATAGTTCTTCAAGGGTTCTTTAGTAAATAAAATGGTTCTACATAGAACCATGAACACTCAAAGAACCCTTTGCATGACGAAAGGGTTCTTTGCATCATGAAAGGGTTCTTCAGGATGATGGAGAATGTGTTCTATATAGAACCTTTTTAAAAAGGGCTCTAAATAGCACCAAAAAGGGTTCTTCTATTGTTGCAGGCTTAACACTGTAACAATACAAGAACCCTTTTTAAAAAGGTTATATTTAGAACCATCTACACATGCTTCTTCAACCTGAAGAACAATTTAGTGATGCAAAGAACCCTTTAATCATGCAAAGTGTTCTTTGAGTGTTTATAGTTCTATATAGATTCATTTTCTTTACCAAAGAACCCTTGAAGAACCATCATTTTTAAGAGTGTTTTAAGGGGTTAAGGTCAAAAATAAGAAGCATAAAGGCAACATCTACATGGAGCGAGTGCTGATTTAAAAAATAGGACCGAACAGCATAATTATTCTACTGAAACACAAAGAAGACATTATATACAACCCAATGGTAGATTAGAACGTTCACATAGCATTTACAGTTCCTTTGGATTATTGGACATTACCCATTAGGATAAGGCTGTTGGACATAGCTGTGTGAGGGCTGGTGTTTTGACAGGAATTTCACAAATGAAATATAACTTCTGAAAATCAAAATGCTTCATCTAAAATTGAAATTAATTCCCAAATGTGATGCAAGTTAATTATAAACAGCTACAAAATGGCACAGAAAATCTTCTTCTCTCTGAAGGGGTTTTCTGAGGAGGGCACAGGAGTCACCAGGGGATCCTCTTTGGCATGAGTTTCGCAATATGACATCAGCTCAGCGGCCGCTTTAGACACCTGTGCAAAGAGAAGACAGCTGGCATAGAATTACAGGAAATACATTGTTTTACAATAAAGTACAATCGCTATTGCTAATCACTACTGTCATCATTGCTATAGCTTATTATCACTTGCTGCTTTCCAAACCTGTTTAGGAACATTAACATTTTCAGTTTTCCGTATTGCAAATACAGATGACATGATGGCACATTTTCCTTTCTGATACCAATACTGAAACCTTGTAAACTGAAACTCATTGATACCAATCTGATATTTTTCTTTAAAAAAGTACAAACTTAAAATGTTTCTAATTGAAGATCTAAAAGTAAGCTATCATGCTCAAACTACTCACTTTACTACACTATAGTCGGAAATACACAGCTAATAACATGACAAAGAGAGTGTGTGATGATTCAGGATAGATTTATTACATGAACGTAGCAGATTTATTCTTTTTTTTTCCCTCTAATATCCGTTCCAGCATTTTCTGCTGATATCGGCCTGATACCCATACATGCCATCTCTAACCGTGAAGAATAAACCTCAGGTGTTGTAGTTTTATCAGTGTTGTTACAGTAGTCATTGAGCTGTTCAGTACAGGACTGATTTCTCACCATCATCCTGTCGATGTTCACCTCCAGTTTTAACTGCTCCACTGTCTTTCGAGCATCTGCAATCTTGGCCATGTTGTTGGACATTGTGCTCTTGTGGAAACTAGCTTAATCAGAGACAGTTCTAATCGGGTGGCTCAGTTTAATTCTGCAATCAGAGATTACAGTAATAATAAGTTAGTAATATAAATATTGGAAGTTTTTTTTACACCATTTAAATATGTCAGCTGCCCTTGTGTGAACTTTTTGCTATAAAAAATGGTACAAAATTACCAAAACATACATTGTTACATTAAAGTTAAAGGGCCCATATCATAATAAAACAAATTTTCCTCACTTATTGAAATGAAAAAGTGTGACTTAGTATGTAAACACTGTTCAAAATGTACAGTTCACTCTGCAGTCAATACAGTGCATATACAGAAACTTGCATGAACAGCTTAATTGTTTTTGTGATGTCACAAAACTCAACGCATCTACACCAGTTTAGCCCCACTTATTTACATTGAAGTTATAAGGAGTGTTTCAATCTGGATTGCTTTTTGAATTAGGCAAAACACAGGGCAGCCAATCAACAAATATTGTCTCAAAAGCACAGTAAGGAAAACAACTTGGTTCATTTTAAGGGATAAAGTGAAGTTGACAAATTATAGAATGTAAAAATGAACTGTGACTGTTTCTGTTACATAAACCCACACAAGTGTCATCAGTGGACCTCAGGGAAAATAAAATACAAGACAAATAAGGGATATGGGTCTCTGGTTTTTCCTCGGTTTTGCATAAATCCTGAATCTTTTGCAGACCAGTGTACAGAGTGCATGTTAGAACAAGTGGACTGAGAGTTAACAGATGCGGAGTTATAGCTGTAGACTGATGCTGCAGTTCTGCTGATGTGTCACAATGAAATGTATTTGAACCCTGTTAATTTGCTAAGATGGTGCCTGATTAGTGTAGCTATTTCACCTATTACTCTTTTGCCCTTCTGTCAGAGGCCGGTCTGCAGCGGAGCAGCTGTAATTGTTTTGGGGAAGACTCTCTGGGTCTCAGCTGGTCGTGCACAGCATGAGGCTCAGTGGGAGAACACAGCACAAGTGCAAGTATCCTCATGAGGCTGTCACTAACCTGCTTAGCATCCCCTGCCTCCGACACTTTCCTTCAGTAACCTCTTATCTTAATTGTAGCTTTAGCTCAAAGTAATGAATAATACATTGCAGCCCAAGATTTGTCAAGACAGATATATTAATACCACTATTGATAGTCTAAAATAAATTCATTTATATGGAGCCAGAACTCTTTGTCATCAGCCATTTATATTTTCATACTGTCTAATTGTTAGAATGTTTTTTTTTTTTCTTTTGTGTTGATTTCACATTTAGCATGAACTTTTGTTTAATCTGTATAACCCAAATTTTTTTCTTTCACTTTTTCATATTTTTACAATTTGCCTGCATGATTATAATCTGATAGCACCACATAAACGCAGGAGCTCCATGAATGTCTGTCGGGAACATGATGCTAGATTTGTTTATGCAATGAGCGAACATTTGAATAAAGTATTGTAAGTATTGTTATGCTACAGCACAATGCATACTTTTGACGCTCATTCATGTATTTCCAAGATAAAAAAATCCACACCTCGGCTCTAAATTCTGTAATAAAAAGCTTTTAAGACTTACCACCAGTTGAACAGTGGGGCTCTGTGTCTGGGATTTCTATCTGTAGAAATGGAGCGTTATTGTTGCTTATACGAAGCACATATTCCCAAGCTTGCAGGAGCAAATGAGGAGACAGTGAGGAGTTAAGTGGAGAGGAGGGGTGGGAAAGGTTGCCTCCTCTCATAATTAGCTTTTATTCCTCCCCCATATTGGGCTGCATAGGTAAGTCCCAGACTTCATGCAGTGTGACCTTCTATTGAGTGTGTCATGCATAGAGAGGTGTTACAGACATCTGGCTGAGGAAAATGTCATTCTGGACTTCATCTTTTTAAATACTAAATATTCTAAAAATGATGTGTTTTGGTGAAGCTGGAAAAGATAATTACTTAAAAATCTTGAAAAATATTTTTTTTTTGTCTTTAAAATGGGGTCTAATAAGTTTATTGCCTTTAACATCTTGTAAATGTAACCTATTGTCTTTACTCCCTTGTAAATGTAACCTGTTGTTTTTATAGACGCTGAAAAATAACTGTCTTCAGTGCATGTTACTAATAGCCTGGGGCTTATGAGAGTCACCAGAGATATACCCAGTGCTGTTTTTCTTCTCTCTGCCGCCAAAAATATTTACCTGGGACCCAAGACTGTAGTGAGAGTGAATCCTAAAAGTGAATCTCCTGCTTTATAAATCTGCATTATAACAGAGATAATAGATATATGGCTTTTTAAAACTAAAGCATTGTGTCTTAGTCTCTGCCAATCAGATTGAGGCCCACTGGCTGCAATGTTTGAAGACAATTAGCCACTAAATGTCCAAAGGATGCTGTTTCAGTTCAGTCAGCACACTTTTAATAGCTCACAACAACAATCAAAGAAAGTAAGGATAAAGTCCCATCCTTCTGTCACTTTCTCAAAGCCTACAGAGCAGTATCTTGGGCAGCACTAGTTGTGCATTTCACTGCGGGGGGCTTGATTTCCACCTCCGGGCTTTAATGTCAGCTGCCTCATTAGCTGCTGTTGTCATTCATTCATTGGTCTACATCACAGCAAGAAGTGCAAGAGTGCCTTCACTCTAATAGGCTATAGAGAGAGAAATGCACATGATTCAGCTTCATCTCTTAGACAGGGGCATAAAGATCCACTGCTCACAGGCATGCAGGTTCAGTCTGATGTGTGTGTTTGGGGGGGGGCATTGATACATCAAGTCAAAAGTTAATCTAGATGACAAAGTATACCAGCAGTTTGAATTAACATATTGTCATATTTAGTCATGTGCAAATGTTTGGGCGCCCCTGGTGGCAGCTGGTCCTTTTTTTGTTTGTTTGTTTTTTGTTTTTGTTCCAATAAATTCTTCTCTGAGCCACATGTTGTGATAAAAATTCTTGAAATATACTTTGATAATAATAAATGTGACAAAAAGAAAAAGAAGGGACTACAAATTAATGTAACATCATAAGTCAATGAATGTTTATAGTATGGTTAGGGTTAGGTTAGGGTTAGTTAGTAATTTGTAAGTGTTTGTAAGGGCATAGATGTTACAAACAGTTCAGTTGTGCAAAAACTAGGTCACAACACAGGAGCATCAGACTTCTGTTGTTCATGACATGCAAGACTCAAACTCGTTGATTCGCTCAAAATCTTCAGAGTAAATATAGAAACAGTAGACAATAGTGCTACACAGTTGCCACACCTTTCTCCTACTCTTCAGAGTGTGTCTTTATTCCTGCAACCATATGTGATTTTAGTTCACAGCGATAGCTTAAAATGCTTGGTGTGGGAGATTTTATGGAGTCATGTAAGTATGTTAGCAGGATCAACCCCGTTTCCAAAAAACTTGGAATTCTGTGCAAAATGTAAATAAAAACAGAATGCAATGATGTGCAAATCATAAATATTATATTTAACTGAAACTATGACAAGGACAACATATTAAATGTTAAACCTGAGAAATTGTATTGTTTTTTTGAAAAATATTTGCTCATTTTGAATTTGATGCCAGCAACATGTTTCAAAAAAGTTGGCAGGTTCATGTTTGCCACTGTGTTGCTCACTCTGTTTTTGACTTCGTTTGGGAACTGACGAGACCAATTGCTGTACTTTAGAAAGTGAAATGTTTTCATATTCTTGTTTAATATAGGATTCAGTTGCTCAACAGTTCGGAGTCTCCTTTGTTGTATTTTTCGTTTCATAATGTGCCAAATGTTTTCAGTGGCTGACAGGTCTGGACTGCAGGCAGGTCAGTTTAGCACCTGGACTATTTTACTACATAGCCATGCTGTTGTTATACGTGCAAAATGTGTTTTGGCCTTGTCTTGGCAGCATGTTGTTTCAAAACCTGTAGCATTAATGGTGCCTCCCCTCTTTAGCCCAGAGGACGCAGCATGATTTCCAAAAGGAATTTCAATTCACAGAACACTTTTCCACTTTCCAGTCCATCTAAAAAGCCCAGAGAAGGCGCCAGCATTTCTGGATCCTGTTTATATATGTGTTTTTTTCTCTGCATGGTAGAGTTTTAACTCACATTTGTGAATGCAGTGGCAAACTGTGTTCACAGATAATGGTTTTCTGAAGTGTTCCTGAGCCCATGCAGTGATTTCCACTACAGAATTATGTTGTGTTTTTACTGTAATGCTGTCTGAGGGCCCAAAGATTACAGCCATCCAGGACTGTTTTTTTGCCCCTTGCACACAGAGATTTCTCTGGGTTCTCTGAATCTTTTAATGATATTATGTACCGTAGCTGATGAGATTTTTGCTATTTTACAGTGAGAAACATTCTTGAATTGTTGCACTATTTGTCTGCGTAGTCTTTCACAGAGTGGTGAACCCCTCCCCATCACTCAGCCTCTCTGAGGTGCTCTTTTTATCTTGTTACTGACCTGTTGTCAGTTATCCTAGTTAGTTGTAAATGTTCCACCAGATGTTTGTTTTTTTAAGTACACCACTTTACCACTTTTTTTAAATGTGTTGCTGGCATCAAATTCAAAATGGGCATATAATTTTCAAAAACATTACATTTTCTTAGTTTCAACATTTAATGTTGACTTGGTACTATTTTTATTTCTGTTTTTATTTACATGTTGCACAGTTTTTTGGAAATGGGGTTGTAGATTATGTATCTTCTGTGACAGTCATCCCGTGGTCCCTCAAGTCTATCTCACATTTAAAAAACAGTGGGAGGGGCACGTCCCACTTGTTTCCCCATTTATTTTCCACCAGTGACTTTTCATATCAAAAATACAGTGCTACCTTGCTACACCTGGAATACTACAAACATTTTGTCTTTTTAAGAAGGGTTTCTATAAAACATTACTGTTTGAGCATTCAGCTGACATGTTGTTGAACTTAGCTTAGGCAATGCTAAGAAACAGATTTTGAAATAAAACATCAGAAACTTTTCTTTACAGTTGCTGAATACTGTTTTATTCAATTGATGAACAAATTCAGTTTAGTACAGTAAGACTGCAGACGAGTTGATTTTTTCAATGGACAACTGAATTGAATTAATCAATCCAGGGCATTTCAGTTTTACAGATTGTGTTTTTGTGAGTTTGATTTCTGTGACAACATCTAGATTCACAGCTGTTGATTTCAGTCTCACTTCCTCTAGCACACGCAGTAGTATGCAGAGATGCTGTTGTCCCAGTCTCCGAACAGGCCCTGCGACACTTCTTTCAGGCGGTACTGAATGCCAGAAGAAAACTTCTTCTTGTTTCCGTTCTTCTTGATACGAGACCACACTGTCAGGCTGCACGACTTGTTCACCACCAGAGAGGACACGCGGTTATTCCAGCGCCATGGGATGATGGGGACGTCGTCATTGGGATAGATGTCAAGGAACTCTCCTCCACAGCTTTGGTCGTAGTAGTAGTTACTGTCCTCAAACAGGCGAGCGCACAGCTTGGTGCCTTCGGCATCTTTCAGGGTGCTCGGCTCTGGGCACTGAGCTTCCGAGCCCAGGAGGCACATAGCACAAAGGAGGAGAGCAGCTGATACCTTCATGACTTCAGTCTCCCGAGCAAACAAGGCTGCAGCAGGTTACTGAATGTGGCAGTATATATACAGAGCTGTTCTTTGCAACTGGTCAATGTGTGAATGTCCACATAAGCCAACAGATGGCATGAAGGTTATTTATGGGAATTTCAACACACTGTTCAATTTCCCCGTCAATCAGACAAACTGGATAATCAAACAAAATACTTCAAGTATGTACAATATTGTGTTGACTGTACTTATTAACAAATTGTAGATAAACAGTTTATTACTCTGTTTTTTATCGCTATAATTGTCGATTATTTGATTATTTTTGTTCTAACAGAGAACCATATAGTGATATACAGTTGGATTCATGTTTTTTAAATAGGCAACTGATTTTTCATTTAAAATGCCAATTTTGCTCATTTTTTTCTCATTAAAGAACAAAAGAATTTATTAATGTTGTGACTTTGATTAATAGAAAATATATTTGTTTCTTTTTGGGGTTAGGTGGGGTGGTCTGTGCGTGGGTGGATCATGTTACCTTTCTCAGAATACATAAACTAAAGAAAAGAACCTCTCTTTACTTAATCCATCATACTGTCATATGTAAAAAAGTTCAAGCACCCCTTGTCAAATTGCATGTTTTGTTAATTTATAATTATATATATATATATATATATATATATATATATATAGAGAGAGAGAGAGAGAGAGAGAGAGAGAGAGATAGATGGATGGATAGATAGTGTGTTCTATAGATGATGTGTTAACTTATTTGGACTTAGAGAATCAACAAAACTTGTAATTTGACCAGGGTGTCCAGACTTTTGCATATGACTGTATATGCTCTCCCATTTGAGGGATATGCCAGATTTGATATTCGGATTTTTTCTTTTTGGTTAAGATATTAGGCAGGTCTGATGAGCTGATAGTGATCTATCTATCTATCTATCTATCTATCTATCTATCTATCTATCTATCTATCTATGTATCTATCTATCTATCTATCTATCTATCATGATGAGGAAGTTCCAACACACATTACACATGAAATCACCACAGAGTGAGAAGGCTGCCAGTTTTGACTTAATCACAATGCCTTACTGCAGTGATAGTTATGTGGTTGTATCAGTGTAGTGTTATCAGTATTGTGCACTAATCTGTAACCTATTGCAAGTCACTACAGCACGTCTGAGGGGTGAAGTAACTCCTACCTTGATGCCTCTCAGAGCCACCTGCAGAAGTTCTCAGCTGTGACTGCAGAAAATGAGAAAAGGTGGGGCTGTGAAAAAAAGTCTGCACGGTAAAACCTTGTGGTTGATACAGCCTCCACGGTCTCTATTTATAACTGCTGATCTGGTGCTTTGCTCTGTGCAATAGACTTTTCTGGCACTTAAGTGCCTTGAAACCTTCAAAATCAAATTTAGTCCTGCAAGGACAAGGCAAATGCTCAACAACATTTAGAACTTTTTTCCTTTTGTCTTTCCGAGGCCAGGACTTGGTCAGTTTTCACGTCCTCCACGTTGCAGGGCTCACAGATAAATTGCCAGGCGTGGAAAAAGCACAGAGAAGGTGTGCTTAGGTGAAAGTATGGGCACTGTGTCAAATCTTCTGAGTTAAAGGTGGAAGTATGGAGCCAGAAATGTACTTGTGAAAGTAAAAATGTATCAAGACTTACACATACTGTAATATATACAATTTAAAAGTAAATGTTTTAACAGATATAATTGAAAGTTTTATTTTATTTTTATTAGTATGTGAGGCAGTGGTGAGTGCTGGTCCTCACAAAGTCTAGTTAGCGTATTGTGGGTCATATCATTTTACACTGATATGAATTTGGTTGGATTTTTTAATAAAACAAAACATTCAATTGATTGACAAGAGAAAAACAGTTTAGTAATTGAGTAAAAGTTTCATCTTCAATAATGCTCGAGCAAATTTACAAATCTTCCAAAATAATACTTAAGCATAATAACAAAGTACAATTACTCAAGTATTACCATTCAGGGATTCAGGGACAACATTACATAAATTTCCAGCCAAACAAAGTGCCAAAGCAGGGTCGGTCTACAGATCTATCAAACGAAGGTGCTGAATCTGCTTTGCTCTTTTTTTGGACCAAACTAACTACCAAATGCATAACCTAAAATCTTTAACAGAAAAATGAACATCTGACCTCAGATCAGTGTAGACCATAGATACACGTATCTAGATGCCGCTTTGGGTCCAGTCAGGCACGTCAACGGCGCCGCCATTTTAGGGCGGTCAACATCGCTGCTGGACTGCATTCAGTACCATTACCTAGCGACAGTTCAAGTAAGACACTGTCAAAAATTATAACCTACTGTTTTAAGAATACTGCACTCAGAAAGCGGGATAAGATTACATAACGGTGTGATGCGTATTGTGTGTGTGATGTTCATGTGTAGATATGGCCATGTGGTTAACGAGGCACAGAGAACCTGTTGATGTGATTGTTTTCCCTCTGGTTTTATATTAAGCTTATTTCATTTAATTGTCTGTTCAGGGGATCTTAACTTTATGTAGTAGTTATAACTAATATATTTATTTACAATGATGTTTAATGCTTTGTAGCTAGGTAAATTATAGTATTCCTTAATCTGTGTAGATATTCATAATAGATTAACATTAGCACCTTACACGAAGCTGAAGTTAGCTTCTTATTTGACAGCTTTTTGTTCGCATTTCCACCATAAATGATGCATCACCAGCATCTTGTTCGAATTTTCCTGTTCCATCTTAAATGGTGCAGCTTCAGGCACCACAAAATGACTGCCATTTAAGGGGGAACGGGAAAACTCAAACAAGAGGCTGGCGAATAGGAAGCCAACTTCAGCTTCGTCCTTCTTACTGTGTTTTGGGGGTTTGTTTTATTTTTATGTGTATTACGATTAGAAGTGATTCACACACTGATGGATTTGCTAATATGTGTGACATTATGTTTCTACCGGAGCTCGCGCTGAACTCGGTTTGTAACGTCAGGTGCAGTCTCAGTACTTTCCTGCTGGTCCGGACGGCTAATTAGCACGATCACTTAATAAAGAAATAAAACCTACCGAGAGGAGTCCGAGCAGCCTATATTAATCTATGTCTGAGGATTATAACAAAACAAATTTGGTGGAAATCGGTTCTGTAATAAGGGAGTTGTGGCTGATCCCTGGTGATGCTACAGCCATCCGTAGCCGGGAGTCCGAGAGAGCACAATTGGCCTCGCTCTTTCTGGATGGGTAGGATGGCCCCTCCTTCTCCCCCCATCACTCAGCGCGATGCTAGTCAGCGCAGGCGTCTGTTAGCTGACGTAACAGATCTGGCGGTTGGCGCTTTCCTCCGAGCGCGTTCGGCTGTCCAGTGACGTTGCGTGAGCGGCAGTTCGAAAAGAAGCGGTGGTTGGCTTCACAGGTCTCGGAGGAAACCTGTGTTAGCCTTCACCCTCCTAGCGTTGATAGCATCGTGTGATTGGGGGAGTCCTAACTAGCGGGTGGAATTGGAGACGACTAAATTGGGGAGAAAATCGGGTAAAAAATTAAAATAATAATAATAATAATAATAATAATAATAATAATAATAATAATAATAAAAGGAATTTTGTTGCAGTTACTCTGTTAGCTACATGTTTGATGTCGACCAACCGATGACATAATTAAGAGTGCAGCAAACACACGTTTATTTTATTTTTTCTTTCTTGTAATCTAGCAGTTTTATTTTATTTTATTTTATTTTATTTTATTTTATTTTATTTTATTTTATTTTATTTTATTTTATTTTATTTTATTTTATTTTATTTTATTTTATTTTATTTTATTTTATTTTATTTTATTTTATTTTATTTTGAAGGCCCAATGGTAGTTAGAGGAAGTTTCGTCAGTGTGACGTCGTTCCGTTCGTTCTGCGTTGTGGCGGGTTTTCTGCTACTGAGGGAAAGATGGACGTGGATATGAAAGAGGCTGATGGCGAACAAATCCAGCCAGACACGCAGAATAAAAAGGAAGATGTTGTCTCAAAGCCAGCGACGAGTACTTACGAACTACCATGGTACTGACAGTGATTATTTCGACGTTGCTAACGTGTCCAACGTGCAAAAAATAAACAAAGCAAGAAAGCCGTAACGTTAGCCTGTAGCCTGCAGTGCTGTGGGTGAATTTTAGTAGATTTGGAACGAAATTCAGTGTTTGTGCTCCTAAAATAGCTGCGGTTTGATTAAGTAGCACATCCCTGCAAACGCATTGTATCGTATGTTCATCACGCTAGGTAACTATCTAGTTAGGTAGTTAATTAACGCTAACTAACTAGTTAGCTTGCTAGGTGAACTCAACAAATGATTCAAGGTTTTTAAAATGTTTTTAATGTTTGTCTTATGCACAGTAAAAAGGCAGTTACACTGTACAATGAAATTCTTAAAATTTCTTTGCTAATCTTCCTTTCACAAAAAATAGATAGACATAAATGAGTGAACATAGGTTAGTATTTTGACTACCGTGTGCCAACGTTAGTAGTGTGTTTACTGTGAGGGTCAGTCATGTTTTTTTTTTTTAGGGTTGAAAAATACAGACCTATGAAGTTGAATGAAATTGTTGGAAATGAGGAAACTGTCAGCAGACTGGAGGTAACAAAACCACAATAATTAACATTACCATCTCATCTGAAATGTGCATGAGTAACGTTAGATATACTTAAGATATATATAACGTAAAGATAGCTCACAGCTTCTTTTAAACTCTGACGTTGAAACAGGTGTTTGCCAGGGAGGGCAATGTACCCAACATAATCATTGCTGTAAGTAACATAGCTTATATTTTACTTTACTAATAACTGAAATTGAATAGTTAACTGCTTTGTTATAATATATCTGACAGTCAGAATCGTATCTGCTGGTAGGGTCCCCCAGGCACTGGAAAAACAACAAGCATTTTATGTTTGGCAAGAGCTCTTCTTGGCCCAGCAATGAAGGATGCTGTGCTTGAACTGAATGCCTCAAATGACAGGTAAAAACTGTGTGATTTATATTACAGCAGTTTTAACCTGTTATTGAAAGTATAAACTGTGTAAAATGTGTATAAAATTAGTAGAAAATCAACAGCCTTTTTTGATAAACAGCTATAGAATCACCGAACATGTGACCACACACAAATCTGTAACAATGTAACTTAAGCCATTTATACTTCACTGTGCATGTTTTACTTCTGACAAGGTAACTAAGTTTTCAGTTCTGTCTGCTCTGCTTTCAGTTCATCAAAAAAATGTTATATACAGAAGTATATAGAGGACAGAACCAAACTTTGAGAATTTTGACAGCGTGTTTATGATGGAATTATTTGTGTTATTTAACTTTGCAAATTCACTTTGCTTATATTTCACGAATATCAAGATTGCTTGTTGTCATTGTTTGCTTACAAAGATGTGCTGTTAATCTTGGTATTACTTGCATGTACACATACCTCCATCATAATTAAAATTAACTTATTAAAACCTTTGGTTTCGTTCATGCACCACACAACAATTTGCCAGAGATATTGATAAACTTAAGATTGCAGAAAAATATCTTGAATAAAGTTGGAGTTTGTTCTCACTCTGCAGATTCTATTTGCATCAAAATTTGGTGCACCTGAATGTGAATGAAAACAGCAAACTTTATATTGGCACTGTTTTTTAATTTATTTCAGAGGTATCGATGTTGTCAGAAACAAGATAAAGATGTTTGCCCAGCAAAAAGTTACTCTCCCCAAAGGGCGTCACAAAATCATAATTCTGGATGAAGCTGACAGGTAACCAATACATAATGCTACTGTATGTTGATTTGTATGCTGCCAGTGTTTATATTTAAATGTGCATAAGTAAAAGATGCTTACCTGTGACCTTTTAAAAATAAGCATGACAGATGGAGCTCAGCAGGCTCTGAGAAGAACTATGGAGATCTATTCAAAGACCACTAGATTTGCCCTGGCCTGCAATGCGTCAGACAAGATTATCGGTGAGTACAGCCTTAACTATGATGTGTAAAACTGACTATACTACTATAATGTTCTTAAAAAACAAAAATTGAATCTTGTAATCTGTTCCCTTAGAGCCCATTCAGTCCCGCTGTGCAGTGCTGCGCTACAGTAAGTTGAGGGATGAGCAGATCATGATGCGGCTGATGGAGGTGGTGGAGAAAGAGAACCTGCACACCACCAATGATGGCTTGGAGGCCATTATCTTCACTGCCCAAGGAGATATGAGACAGGTCAGTCTTGGCCAGTTCCTGAGATTAATATTTGTTGAATAGTATTTAGTTTATATCGTTTACACAATATTCACTGTGTATTTGTAGGCACTGAACAACTTGCAGTCTACAAATTCTGGATTTGGTTTTATCAACAGTGAAAATGTATTCAAGGTTGGTCTCAGCTTCTCTACCCTTTCACCTTCACCACATTTGTTATATCTGGGCAGGGGTTGGTATTTGGATATGTACAAAGTGTCAGAGCCTCATTAATGGGATGCTGGCATTGATGACATCTGTTTCTCTTTAGGTATGTGATGAGCCACACCCTTTGCTGGTAAAAAACATGCTCGAACACTGTGTCAACGCTAATATCGACGAAGCTTACAAGGTATCACTGATTGTGTAATAAAAATAATAAAATGCACTTTCTGAAAATGTCAATCATATAAACATATTCATCACATGTATGTTCTCATTCAACAGATCATTGAACAGCTTTGGTCTCTTGGCTATTCTCCTGAGGACATAATAGGGAACATCTTCAGAGTGTGTAAAACCTTCCAAATGCCAGAGTACTTGAAACTGGAGTATATCAAGGTAAGGGGCATAGTTTTGACTGTTGAATTGCAGTGTCAGATTTTTTACATGGACTTTCAATGCAGTTCGGATTGGTAAGCGCTTATTGATTTGTTTAATCAAAATAATGATAAAACGTGACTGATGTGTGATTTATGTTTTGTCATTCAAAAAGGTAGTTTGTGACATTTTCTTTTTTTTTGGTTCTTTACATAATAAATAAATGCAAAAATAGCATTGAGAAATTGTGTTATTGATGGAGAAGAGCAGGTTAAATGGGAAAAAATAGCAACTATTTCATGAGCCTTGAAAGATCAAGGGGTGTTTTTTGCCCTCTACAGCTGATTCTCATGGCCAGTTTCGACCTCTATTGTCAAGTTTGGCCAAATAACATTTAGTAGGCCATGAAAAACATTATCAACAGTTACATTTTAACTTAATTAAATAATTTCATTGCAACAGTTACTCTATAAGTATTTGCTATAAAACTGATCTATTATGAGGTTAGTAAAGCTGTTCTTCATTGCAGCTGCCGTTGGCCTACAGAAACTGCAGAACATAGCCAATGTTCCATTTTTATGGGTTTTATTATCCAGCCAGTCCATCGTCCATGAAGTTTTCACTGTATGAAGTTTCACTTGATGTACTAATGGTTTCAGGTGTTGGCGCAGGGCTCGTTGTGGTGTTGAGTAGGCTGATTCTCCACTGATGTAAATCAAAAATTGTATATAATGAAATGTCAATGAATGATCCAGTCACTTTTTAAAAATATTGTTTAAAATAAAAGTGGGAACATTTTTGCCTGAAGCCCTCGTTTATTTTTCCTACTGCAGTACTGTTTGAGTAAAGAAACTCATATCAAGTCTCATTTCTTTTCATGAAGTCTGTCTGATCTTTACTAACCACAAAAATGTGAGCATATTCAACCGCATCTATGAAGTTCCGATTTGGTCTGCATCGATATCCTGTCATGTAGCTAATCACCTGCCTATAGCATGTCTAAGCACAAGAATTTGATTGTGTAATTAAGGAAAGCAAATCTGAATTGAGCGTTTTAGCCTACAATTTAACCAAATCCTGAAAACAGATGCATTTTTTTTGCCAAAAAAAAACTTCAGTTGTACCTTTTGTGTTTTTATATTTGTTGTAAATAGTACTTGTTTTTTTACTTGATATGAATGTTCATAGTGTCAACAGGTGCACCAAGTCTCGTTTAGTGTATCTGCTTGATTCTTTTCCTAACATGCTGAAATGTGATTTGTATCTTTCTCAGGAGATTGGCTACACACACATGAAGATAGCGGAAGGAGTAAACTCCCTTTTGCAAATGGCTGGACTCCTAGGGCGACTCTGCAGTAAGACTGCTGCACCCGATGCCAGCTAAAGCTTAACAAGTATTCAAGGCTTCTTAGCCTTCCTGTGCTTAATATCTGCAAGCAAAAGCATTTGTAGAGATACCTTTACTTGTAAATACTTTTGAAAATCATTAATAAAAAAAAAACTACTTTTTCAGTTGTTTGTCACCAGTTGTTGTGAGATTAGTTTTGAAGTTGTTTTTTTATGAAGGACACAGAGAATTCCTGGGTTCTCAATTGATTTAACCCATTTCGCTCAGCCTCAGTGCTGTGTACTCAAAAATAATGAATACAGTTTTATCTGAAACTTTTGCAGAGGAGTGTCTAAACCTCATTGAAATGTGTTCCCATAGAAATATATTTAAATCAGTTTTTGATTGCATAGCTGAGATTTGGTGTACTGCTACAGAAATGTTTGTATTTTTATGTACATAGTGGTTAAAGTTTTAACATTTAACATCTGTCTTAACTGAAATGAAACTATTTTTAGAGTTTCTTGTCTAATTGGATCACAAATTCTGAAAATTGCGAAATATTCTGTTCTCGTCACTGAGTGGCTAAAAGCATCTTGTGTTCAGTGTACACGATCACTGTGAATCGATCAGAATTACCTCAAGAAGATGGAAGTATGCTGTAATTGAAACATCAAATAGTCTGTACCTTAAAATATGTGTGTAAGCTGAAACATTTTTTGAAAATATAGCTAATGAAGAAAAATCAGAAGCACAAATGTTTTCAGCAGATTCTGATGACTATTTTCTGTGTAGTGACACATGCACAGTAGTTTATTAATAAAAAAAGTTTAATTGGTCTTACATGTCTTTTACAAAACATTTTGTTACAAACATAATTTCACAAGAGGGACAGACATCGTTTACTCTCCATCTAACAACCTAACATTAAAGTAAAATTATATCTAATACTCTAATAAGTTAACTTGTAAAGTTTCATAACAATAAAGATGTTGGTTTAGTCCGGCTGAGCATTCACATAATCGGGTTCATCTGTTTCAAAGATAAAGATCAAAGTGAACTTTAGTGTTTTATTCTGTTAGTGAAAGAAATAATAAACACACAAAAAAGCATTTTTTATTACCTTCGTCATCTTTGCTTTTCAGGAAATCAGCGTTTTCATAATCCTCGCTGTCTGCAATCACAGGGGTAGAATGAACATTTTCGAAGAAATACTGCGACAATGGATTTATATTTGTGTTATTACAACATTCTACATTTGTACATGTTGTAAAGCACGTGTAGTGTATATAAAGTACTGTGTAAAAGTCTTAGGTGCTAAAGTGCTTATTTAACACCATTTATCTTGACAGTGTGTTTATTTATTTATTTATTTACCTATTAAAAAACAGAATATATATACGAATAAACAAATATAGTAAAAAGTAAGATAATTTCTCATTTTGAAAAAGTTGATATCTTGTAAACTAGTTTGAAGAACAAAGCGGTCTCCCGGACTTCCCCAGCCATCACAGATTCGTTAAATTCCATCGCGAACACACTTGACTTAGTGTAATGAAGCACTGATATTCCAAAACAGGTATTGAATAATAAGTGCTGAGCTTCCACAAGGAGAGGTTTGAAAACAGTTAAATGAGCACTTGACATACATAAAATCACAACTTATTGTATACGTGCTATTTGTATTTATTTTAATAGTGGTGTTTTTTTCTGAACAAACAAATGCTTACTGTCCAAACTTTTGCACAGTATTGTATGTTTACGACTAACATGAAGAAATAAGATTGAATTACAACTGTAATTAAAGGGCAGTCGTGCAGAAAAAGAGCAACGGTCCACACCAAATTAAAAAAACGACTCGCATCCAGAAATAATTGAAGTACTTACCTGAGTAATGGTCAATGTTCTTTGTTGGAAAAACATTCTCATATGCATCTCCATCTATATCTGAAGAATAGAATTAAAATTAAGGTTATATAATACTGCATTTACCGCTGTTAGTAGACAAACTCCTTGTCTTCACCCACAGATCTACAGTCCAATCTGAGTGGAAAGTTCAAAAACATGACCTTTTACTTTGTTCAGCTGCAGCTACAGCAGAATGTGTTCACTCTGTAATCTTTATCTAGTTCTCATATGGCGTGGTTTCTCATGACCTTTCCATCAGCGACACGAGGCTTCGCTGAAGCCTCTGTTTCTCCTCCCATTTGAATATAAGACAGACAGCAGTAGATGCTACAAAGACCACATAACAGAAGAGCTTTTCATTTGAGGCTCCTACTCACCGTTGTCTGTAAGCTCGTCTGGAACAGGTGGGGTTGGAATTGGATGTCTAAAAACGAGACAGTAGATGTAGAAAAACAAGCAGAATTGTAACGGTGCTCTCCCACATTCAAATGGACATCCTTGCACTTTATTTCTCTCGTATACCAAGTGATAATAAAGGCTACTTACACATAAGTGGGTTCCAGACTTCCACAACAAGCTGCAAAGAGAGGTTATGGGGTGAGAGTTGTTGAGGGGGGTGGGAGGCATATCATAAATGCCATTTAAAAAAAAATAAAATACGTCTGTCAAATCTTGGAAGAAAACGTAAACCTACGCTTGGAAATGTTCTGGTAACTGCCTTGGATGTCCTCAACAGCTTTTGGGAAACAAGCCAAAAAATATATCATCAGTGCCGCTATTCCTTTGTGACATTGATGAAGTGATACTTTACATTCTGAAGCTCTTACCCTGTGGTTGGACATAAGATGCACGTTGACTGTTCCTTTAAAGAGATAAATATACAATAGTCAGGTTCAGAGAGAGGTAGAAGAAAATGACTCTGTTATTAGTAACTTTAATTTGAATAATTTGATTTAATTAGTATTTCAGTATAGGTGAAAAGCCTCCTATAGAAATTAAATGAAAGAGTATCACAGGGGTCTCGGAGCTAGCTGAGCGCGTTCGCTCAATAGGTTTGGGTAGAAGAAAGTGGACAGGTAACACAATATTGTATGTTAATATTATTTCTTCCTGCCTGCTGGTGCATGATGTAATTAAAACTCAGATGTTGTCGAGGTGGGCAAAAGTCACCACAGTTAGATCAAAGGTTACAGGAAAGCAAGAATGTTGTCTTTTGAATAACATGAAATGGTGAATTGTGCCTAATATGACCGGGGCATGAACTAACAATGTAAAAAAGGTCAATTTTGATTTTAGATTGATTTTAAAGTAATCAAGGAATTTCAATTTGAAAAAATAAATACAGAGCAGGAAAGATCTGGTCTGGGCTAGTCTTAAAGGGACTGTTGTTTTTTTTTTAGGTCTCTTGTGATCCCAATAAGCACAGCTAGTGTTGTATTTCATAAATAAAATATGAATTCTAATTAGGGGTGGGTGACGTGACGATATTTTATTGTTATCATGATAAATTGTCACAGTGCACTTTTCTGAGCATGTTGTGGATATTAACACATAATTAATCCAGTTTCATTGCCAACATTGAATAAACATTACTGTAATCATAGATGTTGATAGTATTATTTAGTTATGGCGATGGAGATTTCAGTCAATTCTAACTTATAAAACCTCAGAAAAACTAAATATTGTGATACATGTTGTGTATTGTGAGAATGTTTTCAAGTATCGTGATAGATTTTTGCGATGTCGCCCACCCCCTAATCCTAATCATTCGTAAGATTTTATCAATACATAAACTACAGACATTCTTTTAAGAAGCGCTAAAAGCAAACCTTTAAACCAGGGATCATTATTAATAAAATTGTTTAACATTTCATGCATTCAGAGCTGTTTCCTGAAGACTAGCCGACCAATAAGTTGTAGCCTTTTAGTCGACCATGCTTTTTAAAGTGTATATATATGTCCAAATGTCCAGTTCCTAGTTGGGGGACGCTCATTCAAGCAATAAAAGAGTAATAAGGCTGTAGAACAATAAAAGATTTTTCTTATAATATCCCAGATACTAGGGTTCATGTTGTCATATTTACATTGTGATTATCAAACCTGAGAGTGGATCCTTCTTACCCGACCCCCACCATGACTTCCATGAGTTCATACACATTGTGCACATGAAGGTTTCATTTAAAACCCACTGACAAATGCCATATAAATGGCATAGTATACATTTGGAATTTAATTATTTATATATAAATGTACACAAAAATCATTAAAATTACTTTTTCTGTTTTTAAGAAACAGAAAATGGGAATGGGAAGTAACATACTGTAACATATTGTGACATCGTCGCTGCCGTATCAAAACCTTACATCTCCATTTTTTGACATAATTTGAAAACGCCAGCTGCTGTATACACAGTTTTCAAAGACTGGACCAATAGAAAGAGACCAAAACTTAGAATAATTAAAGTCTTGTTACGTTAACATGCATTGACAGTTGGCCACTTTTTTGGCGATACAAGATTTTATTTTCTGCTCAGTTAAATTTTCAAAATATCTCACATTAAAAGTGCAAGTAGACTTATGAGGTATGTGGATTATTGTTTTTTTTCTATCTATACATTTCATTACAGATCATTATAAACATATCAGTTAATTTCTAGACACCATTCACAGTACGTTACCCCACAGTTGGAGACGCCTCTGAGGTGATCTGGTTAGGCCTCGTCACTGTAAGACAGTCACAATCAGCATGAGTTAATAGTGCATCTGTATATGAACTCTCAGTTTATTACATTATGCCGTTCAAAATGCCACTCAGTCTCAATACTCTTGTGCAGAAAGATACACTACTAGCTTTACCAGAAAGTCTTCTCACTTATCCATCAATCTTTTTCTGTTCTGTTTCACTATATTGATAGATATCACTTTACAGCAGTGAGTGAGAACATAAAGATGTGTGAAGCACATCGCACATAGATGATGTGTGATAAATCTTTGGTAACATGGAACGCTTTGGTAAGCGTTTGGTAACGTTTAGCAACATCTTATTAAGATTAATCTATTAAGATAAATTACATATCACAAATGTTTATTATATATATGACTAAGGACGGGTTCTAAGTTAAGGAGCTCAAAGACTTGACACATGCTTAGCAGCTTTGGTGTGGTGAAAAAAGTAAGGCTGGTAGTGGTGAAGACATCTGTCTTAAGTTATGGTTAACTCGATTGTATGAGGTAACCATTTGGTGAACACTTCAGTAACTGTTGTCTCAGACTACCATAAACTGACCAGTGAGAACCTGCAGGGAGAGGGCAGGAGGAGAAAAAAAAGAGGCAAAGAAAATCTCTTCACCTGTTTTTGATCTTGTCACAGCGAATCTGCTCCCCTCTCGCTGACTGAATAAGCCAAAACAGTAAACACGGAACTTATTTCCACTTTCCAATTTCATTTATTTCAATTGTGGGTAAAAAGAAGAAAATTAAACCATTATTCCTCGTCTGTCAAGGAGCATAATAGCAGATAATTTTCTCTCAGACAACTTACAATATTTGTGGAATATAAAGCTGGTTATCCTCCTGAACTATCTCTGCAAAAGAAATAGTAATTTTATATTTTGAATGGCAGCTAATATTAGTGCAGTTCTGTATTCCTGTGTGGTGGGGAGTGAGTATGTCTGTACTGAATGCCACTTACTGGATTTCTTTCTACAGCCCAGGCAGATAGCAGAAACAAACCCAAGTGTGGCCAGAGACACCAAAGCAAGGACCACTCCTTGCTGGCTTGTGACCTCAACCATACCTTGAACAGTAAGAGTTTGCAGTTGTGATTCTGAATAAATGGTAAATGTTTTTTTATTTTTTTCCTCCCCGCATAAGACACATCACACAATTATTATCAGGCAATGCATCTAACAAGCTTATATACAGCTGTGACACCATTCACAAGTAATCCTACGAGAGTAAACATCTGAAACTTTCTGAAGCTCGTCTAACCAACCACAACCCTATAAAAAATCATAGCCTTTTTTTTCTGATGAAATTTACAAAGTACAGATTTCCGGGCCTAGATTAAGCCTGATCTTGACACAAAAAAATATTAGTCAATGACAACTAATTGGAGTTTACTGACATCATGGTTTACATGTAAGACAGTGCAGTAATGTAACCCTTTTTTGACCTAATTTGTTTTTGTTTTCCTGTAAACAAAGCTTAACCACAGGATACGAGTAAAATAATCACTTGAGCACCGGCTTTTTATAATAACGCAGGGTGCCATTACTTTTGCTCACAAATACTTTTCTCATTTGATATTAATAGAGGTCATTTTATATGCTTACATCAACTTTGAATTGCTTTTTGATGTCTTCCTTAAAGATAATAAAAATAGGAATTAATAATGGTTAACCTTTATTTATGTAGCACTTCTCATTTTCAGGGTGCATTGATTTGCACAAGAATAGAGTAAAACATTGGAAAGATGAAATACCATTATCTAAATGATATAACAGCACAATTACTAACAATAGTAGAAAAATATATTAGGCACATGCTAGTTTAAAAAAATATTAATTCTGCATTTACATCTATTGAATCGCATTGGAACGCTTGTCTGGAGATTAAAAGGTGAGCCTTGTTTCACAATTAAATGCTGCATTTGATTTAAACAAGATTACATGCTAGACTTAATTCTAATTACTAAAAAGTTAAAAAGCATGTATGAGATTTTGCTTTTCACTTTAGTCAAACCGCTTTTGATTGCATTCTAAGTGCACAAATGATGGGTAAAGTAACTCTTTTGTTGATTGCCTTGAGAATTCTCTCCACTGCGACTATTTTTAAAGTGCTGTATTTGTTATTTTCTGAAGAATGTAATTATTCTCAGTGTCTATTACCTTAAACTGAAGTCTCAGTGTGCGGCCATTCTGATGTAGGAGCTTCAAGACAAAACTGAGGGTTTGATGAAAGAGCATAGAGGTATTGCTGCACTGCTGTTTCCTGTTTCAAACTGAACTCAACCACATCCGTGCATCAGTGCTCCGGACACAGGAGACCACCACAAAGAAAGTGCTGCTATTTGCACAGGCTTTCAAATGATAGAGTCAGTTTCTAATGACACCTTAAGAACATTTACGATACACTGCATTGTAAGTGCGCTATAATATATCTTCACATTACAAGTATTTTTCCAAAACAGGACTGATCTTATGTGCTTTGTATTTACTATAATTACACTTTATATATGGCCAAATCCACTGTTAGAAATATTTTATACATGCCCTGATCCAAATGTGGGAAATATGCTGACGTGTTGTGATACATTCTAAATGTTGGTGACCTGCTATTTTACAGTACAGCTCAAAAATTTTTTTTTGGTCAAACTGGCGATGATCCTCTGTAACCAATTTACAAGTCCTCAAGTTATTTGGTGAAACTCGATAATCAAATACATCAGGGTTGGGATTAGGATTAGGACCAGTTAGAAGAATTAATGTTATGGCAGTTAAAGACAAACCGAGCATCTATAGAGTATTTACAGTACACATAAGAAATCTTGCATCTCCTATATCTATATTTACATATCTATCTATATATATTCAAAGAAAAAACGTGCAATTTTCAGTTTTCTGTTTTTTTAATGTGTGTATATATATATATATATATATATACACACACACACACGCACTCACTGAGCACTCTAACACTTTAGGTTTTTAGGTACACCTACCTTGCATCTACATTCATTGTCCATTTTATCAGCTCAGGACACCCACAGAGCAGGTATTATTTGAATGGTGGGTCATTCTCAGCACTGCAGTAACACTGATGTGGTTGTGGTGGTGGTGTGTTAGTGTGTGTTGTGCTGGTCTGAGTGGATCAGACACAGCAGTGCTGCTGGAGTTTTTAAACACATCCGTGTCACTGCTGGACTGAGAATAGTCCACCAACCAAAAATATCCAGCCAACGGTGTCCTGTGGGCAGCGTCCTGTGATCACTGATGAACGACCAGAGGATGACCAACACAAACTGTGCAGCAGCAGATGAGCTATCGTCTCTGACTTTACAGCTACAATTTGGACCAACAAGGCAGCCTAATAGAGTAGACAGTGAGTGGACAGTGTCTGAAAACTCAAGCAGCACTGCTGTGTCTGATCCACTCATGGCAGCGCAACACACACTAACACACCACCACCACGTCAGTATCACTGCAGTGCTGAGAATGATCCACCCAAATAATAGCTGCTCTATGGTGGTAATGACCACTGAAGAACAAGGAAAAGGAAGCCATCAAAGTATGCAGAGAAACAGATGGACTACAGTCTGTAATTGTGGAACTACAAAGTGAATAATGAGTGTAAAAACAAGGCAGGTGTAACTAATAAAATGCTAGGTGAGTGTGTGTATGTATATATATATATATATATATATATATATATATATACATATATATATATATATATACACACACATATATACATATATATATATATATATACACACACACACACACACATATATATATATATATATATATATATATAGAGAGAGAGAGAGAGAGAGAGAGAGAGACCAGTACGTATCTCATACAATGTCACTTCACTCGTAGTGGGTTTCTATATACATTACACTGTACAAGTGTCAGATTGAGCATTAATAGCAGGTTAACATCTGACATCTTCATAGCATTAGTGCCCTTTAAAAAAACAACAACACCTGCACAGCAGCCACAGAGGGCTGGTTTTCACACATTAGCTTGCTTTCCTCTAATCTGTCTGCAGTCATGAAGAAAACTACTTCAAACACTGACCTGCAACATAAAAAATAAAGACGCATTCAGCTAAAATGTCAAAGGTTAAAGAAAACATCAAAGTTTTGAGCATTTCTTTTCTGTCAATGCATGATGTTTGATGTTCCTTACTGATGGGGTCTTTAATAGCCTACTTTTTTTTTTTAAACGTATTTTTATGAGACATTAGCCTGAAAAATAAAAATGAACATGTAGGCCACTGCCGCCCCTTTCTGGGAAGTGTTTATGACTCTGTAGGTGGTGAGGGGTTGTATGTTTTTCCACTGATGAAACAAATGTAGCCACTTGCTGTACACACACGCACATACTGTGTAAACCTTTAAGCTAAAACAGTAAAGTAAGTCTGAAAACATTTTCTCAGATCAGACATGCTGAAAATGGTTATAACATACACAGCGTTATTAAATGAATAACTGTTTTATTGTGTTTTAGCATAATAATTGTACAAAATCTGAATCTGGAAGTATAATATTTTATAGAATCTCACAATATTACAGGTCTTGATATCTGGAGCCACACAAAAATACGAACGCTTCTCAAACTTTGATTTATTTTAGGAAGCAATAATTGGGCAAATGTTGTTATCTGTGTTCCGTGTAGCTTGTTCCCTCGTCGTCACGGGTACAGTGATGCAGTGCTGTTCAGTGGAGCAAAGAGGCAGGATGACTGTTTTTCTTCAGTAAACACTGGACGAGACTGGAGGAAAACAGAACATTTCATGAATGACTCTTTTCTAAACAGTTTTGGGAATTATGAATCGTCTAGTAAACCTCATTTTTATCTTTGCCAAAAATTGAACTATAATTTTGATGTTTCATCTGCTCTATCACACCCACTTCAACTCAAGAAGAGCTCATTTATTAGCTGATCAGTTGAATCAAGTGTTTTAAAGAAATACTCCAGTGTTTTTTAGTTTAATCTCTACCTGTCACAGCTGTACTGTATAGTTGATTACCACAGATATTAATTTAGTTATTTCTTAGACATTTCAACACATTTTGGTGGGCTCCTAAGTGGCACTTCTGCTAAGTATTGGCTGTATTGTCAGGATCACAGATTCAGTCCCTGGTGATGCCACAGCCAACCATGGCTGGGAGTCCTAGAGAGCATAACTGGCCTTGCTCTCGCTGGGTGAGTAGGATGCCCCCCATCTATGCTAGCCATCTGACATAACAGAATGGGCAGTTAGTGTCCTCCTTCAAGCATGTTGAACTGTCCAATGACATTACATTAGCAGTGGATAGAAAAAATGAGGTTGTGCTCCATGTGACTCAGAGGAACATAATATGTTGGGAGCATTCAGATGGAATTAATTATGACTATTTTTCATAATAAATTTGGGGAGGGAATTCATTGCTAAAGCAACTAACCATTGGCTTCTATTACAAGTGTATGGCAATGGTTTTTCTGTACTTTTTTAAGAATTTGTGGTAATTGACTAAAGTCATAAGCCAAAATTTGACCACTGCTGGTCAAATGACATTTTGTTGATTTTCCAAGCAAAAATAAGTTATCTTATATTACATAAACATGACATTTTTGAGCACAATTTGTATTAAGAGTTTAACATATTGTAAATGAACAAAACATAAAAAATAAACTTTGCCATAAATTTTGCACAGGCCATATTTTATTTTTTTCCTATATGTAAAAAAAATAAACTGTAATTGTGCATTAAAGTGTACAGAAGTCTGTTCTCTGTAGGTGTTTACTTATTTTCATTTTATTTTCAAAAAATCAGCAAGAACGCAATTTGACCAGGGCACACAAACTGGCTACATATGCTGCAGATCTGGAAGATAGAGGTGCGGTTGAAAAACTGAGTGTACCTTTAAGATAAGATAAAGTAAGATCCAGCAATTATTGGACAAAAACTTCTACAATCAATCAATAAATAAAGAAATATATTCATAAATAAAACTAGACAACGCCAAGTCCCTGTCAGCAGTGCAGCTCTACCTCAAAAGAGCTTGACAGTCTGAGGTACAATTTGTGTACCCAGCTCCTACGTGCTTGGATTTTTTATGTATTAGACCAGGGAAAACACTAAAACAGGCTCATCATGAGTACTCCCTGACACACGCAAAATAAAATCAAGCACATAGCCGTGCAGTCTCCAGAGACAAACACTTGCAGTAGAATGGGTTGTACTAAAGATTTTAAATGTAACACTGACATAAGACGTCACCTTTGCCACAAGTCAATTTCTGTCTAGATCTGCCCTGGTCACCTGTTAGAACTATTATTGTGAAATGGAAACGTCTAGGAACAAAAACAGCTCAACCACTAAGCGGTAGACCACGCAAACACAGAGTGGGGCCGTGGAGTGCTGAACTGCTTAGTGCACTTTGCCTCTAGAAGCAATATCAGCACAAGAAATGTGCTTCGGAAGCATCATGAAATGGGTTTTCACGGCCAAGCAGCTGCACACAAGCCTAAGATCACTATGCACAATGCTAAGTGTGTAAAGCATGCCACCACTGGACTCTAGAGTGTTTTGCAGATGCCAGGAGAACACTTCTTGCTGGCATGCATAGTGCCAAAAATGAAGTTCGTTTGAGGTGAAATAATGGTCTGGGGCTATTTGGGCTTAACCCCTTAGTTCAAGTGAAGAGTAATGTTAGTGCTACAACACACAAAGACATTTCAGCCAGTCTAGGGTTATTTGCTTCCAATTTTGTGGCAAAAGTTTGAGGAAAGCCCTTTCCTGTTCCAGCATGACGGCGCCCCCTGTATACAAAGCAGGTTTCATAAAGGCATTCTTTGACAGATTTGGTATGGAGGAACTCCAGTGGCCTGCACAGAGCCCTGACCTCAGCCTCACTGAACACCTTTAGAATGAATTGGAAAATCAGTTGCGAGCCTGGCTTACTTGTCCAACATCAGTGCCTGACCTCACAAATGCTCTTTTGACTAAACGGGCATTAATTCCAGTAGACATACTCCAAAATCTTGTAGAAAGCCCTGTATGTACAACAAGCTCATAAAGGTGTGATGGGCAGGTGTCCACATACTTTTGGCCATTTAGAGCACTGACTTGAAGGTGCAGTTTATTTCATTACACTTACGTGCACTGCTGCTCAGGCTGGATGACATGTAGCTGCTTCCGCCTGCTCCAAATCCTCCACCGAACCCTCCTCCCAGTCCCACTCCCAGACCTCCTCCAAGACCTCCTCCCAGACCTCCTCC